TTATTAAAATCCATGAAATACATGCATTCAAACTGGGCATTTTTGTGTGGATTTTGTATAGTTTTTTTACACTTTTTACATAAAATATGCAGCTATACATAAATACACTTTCCCCAGTGTTTTCCCAATACATCTGCCTCATTTTTGTGTACTGTTTGTACAGTGAAATTGCATTTTGATATCTGGAAACATGCATAATCTGACTGTGTGTTTTATTCTGAAAGTAAGTTTCAATCTCAGATTGGTTTGGACTGCTTTGAGAAATGGACTAAATAAATTCCTCCTCCAATGGCATGAGAACACGAAATGAAAACAATTCCCATTCATTCAGAACTGAGTTTATCCAAATATTGTGCGTACGAAGCTTACAATTAACACAGGGCCTTATTGTATCATGTGTATTACAGTGAACATTAGAAACCTGGTAAATGTTGACATTTATTGGCAATGCTTACAATTTTTATGAACCATTGGGAAATCTATAAAAATTCTGACATTTATTTTTGTACACATTGCATTGTTGCAATGAGACTTATAGTTCAGCTTGGGAGGGAGCATTTGGCAGTCTTATTGAAGATCTGGATTGAATAGAATGGGATCCCTCTAAGCTTTAAAGGGAATTCTTTCTCTACAGGAGAACACATGACTGTATATTATGGCTTTGGCTTGTGCTAAAGAAGTGCAGAACCAGATTTTCAAAATTAGGCAAAATATGCATGTATGCAAATCAGGTGTTTTGTGTGCATATGGCAAGTTAACTATCTGGCTTTTGGCCAGGCAGCTGTATGTTGAAAGAAATTAATGTACTGAGTAGTAATTGTTTAGGGCTATATCACTGGAGATCTTTCATGCCAAGAGATGAAATAGCTTATATACTGTCTCTCAAAACAGTTGTGAAATAATGTGATAAGTGAGCAGCCTAGTCTACCATGTATCAGTGTAGATGAAGAGGAAGTCTGTGTTTGAGTCTAGTCTATATCCCAACTGAGATTTATGTTCAAAGTGCAAGAAAACTGAAAATTATTGAATCTGTGACAAAGCAAATATAATGCATGAGTCACTCAAGAAACACACACATTTAAATATGATTATTTTAACTCTCAGAATTCTTGAATTTGAAAGTACATGGAAATAAAAGTGCATTTCGATTGTGAAACTAAACATCTAGTGCAATTAGGGGTTCAATATTTGTAAATATTGAGCCCTAATGACTCTTTTCGGACCTTCTCACAGTCCTCACCAGCCCTGCTTTGTACCCCACTTGAGTGCTTTTACCTGGCTAGAATTTGCTTGGATGAAGGTTAGAGAGGAATGTTTGAATAACTTAACAATTATTAACTCTACCCACATTTGATTTTGGTTCCTCTCACCACTGGCATGTGGGCCCTGGGAACTTGCCTAGAAGGGAATACAGCACCTGGGAAGAAAAGTGTTCTATAACTTTAATAACACTAAGTTTAGTTTACCTTTTAGAAACTTATCTTCACCACTTCCTCACAAATAGCTTCTTGTTAGATAAAAGCAACAACAATCCAAATTTGAGGATATATCCTTGTGTGTATATAATATTTGTTGGTACACATAGCCTTATATATAAACTTAGGCTGCCTTCACAGAACAGTTTTATTCCGTTTCCCTAACAGTTAATTTCAGCATTACATTTAGCACTCATTTCTGTGTTATTTGATTTTAGGGAAAAATACCTTTGTAAATAACACAGAAATGAACACCAAAATTCTGCAATATTCTGCTATATTTCTGGAAGTGGCATTTACATCGTGTGAAGTATAATGCCAAAATGAAGAGTTAGGGGAATGTTAGAGAAAACAGAATAAACTGCAGTGTGAATGCAGCCTTAGATACACAGTGACTTCCACACAAATGATAGGGCATGCTTTAAAAACCATTTTATGAACACACGCCTAAGATAGATTAATCTTTCATGAGTTATGATGTGTAAGCTGCTCAAGCGATTCATTAATTTTTGTGGTAAAGAAAACCAACATTTTCATAGGCAGATGGCACTGTTATTTTGGAAGAGAAAGCTGGAGTCAACGAGAAAAGAGTGTGATCTATTGTTTGCTGTGCATTCAGCACTACAGGGAAAGAAGTATGGGGAAATGTCAGCATCTGCAACATCCACAGCAGCAGGTACTTATTATCACATGAAGTCAAAGTGCTTAGAGAAACCACAGTTTGTATGTCCTTTTAATTGTGCCTTGCAATCTTGATACAGTCAAGAAAGCAAAGTTGTTCTCAGGGAGGAAGAGGACTCATAATAGGAGATAATGGCCTAATTGTCTCATTGGTTGGAGGCGGGGTGCTGCAATGTGCGATGGATAAAATTTGCTTGCAAAGAAGCAAACGCTGTGATGTTATTTCAAATGGTCAGCACCATTATTTTAAGAGACAAAAGGAAAAGTTTTTAATAGATGCGGTAAGTCCAGTGCTTTTTTCACCTAGAAAAATAGGTGCTGGTACTAACCACGAAGTTGTTATAGTAAGTGCCACACTTTTGAACAACAAAAAAGGTCACTGTGTATCCTTGAGTATCCCCTGGAAAAAGCACTGGTTATTAGTAATAATAACACAGTTTGCAAATCATTTCCCCTAACATAATACATTCCTGTATGTTATTTTCAGAAATAGATACATTTTTATGCACACTTTACAGAGTGCATACACCTTAGGTACAGAGGTGGGGAATGACTTATAGACCAATCTTGGCCTGCCAGGCCATTTTTCCCAAACCAAGTGCATACACCTATCAGCTGATGTCACTGGTGACATCAGCTGATGGGCAAAAGGTCAGGTTTTTATCCTGCATTGGCAGTGCCACCCTGTTCCTAGCAGGAAACATAAGCATGCAGGTTAGGCACTGGGATTTAATCTCCACTCATCAGTTGAGATAGACAGAGAACCCAACAAACTGTCAGACTAAGACCAGAGAGACTCAGGATCAGGTTTCTACTCTGTCATGAAGCTCCCTTGATGTCATTGGGACAGACTAACCTACTTAACATGTTTTGAGGATAAAGTAGAGAGAGTGAACCATATATGCTGCCTTGAGCTTTCTGAAGAATGGATAGGATAAAGGTGAGATGAATTATAATGAGTATCAGTTTTTTATCCAAGAGATAGGATAGAAAATTGTCTGCACAGATTCCTAAGTTGAAGGTTGATTTGCAAATCACTGTCATAAGCAATGTATAAGGTAATCTTCCAGAGTTCTAGATCACACCAAGAGCCTCCAGGAACACAGAAGGCTCCCCACTTCAGTAATTTATGGAGGATCATGTGAATGCTGAATAGGTCAGAAGTATGTCCAGCTTGTGTGCTGCTTGTAAGTGCAAGTAGAATGCCTGAAGAAGGCTTATAAAAGTGTGTGATCTGAAAGCAGCCTCTACATTCCAGATTTCATCTCTTTCATTTCTTTTTTTTTACTTCTGATGAAAAATGGAAAGATGACTTTGAAGCCTGCAAATGAAATAAAAGATACTTTCCTAAAGATAACCCATGTTATTTCAAGGCCATCCATCCTTTCAGAATCAAATGTCTCTAGCATACCACCGAAGGTTGAAGACATTAGTCAATTGTGAGAGTTGATGTCACTGGCATCTATCTCAACTATACATGCAAGTAAATTGCCTGCCTTCTCTCCACAGATAATTGGCATGTGTGCACTGTAAATTATCTTTCTTTTAACACCACTCCAGCTGAAGCTAACTTCAGTAATCTTCTTCACACCTTATGGCCAGTAATTTGTCTTACACTGTGCACTTAACCAAGCTACACCCTGCTTTGGAAAATCCTTATATTCTAAAAAGAGCCATTCATACTCTCTCAGCACAGTATGTAATTTATGTATGATAAGAGTCAGAAGTGAGTCTATAAGTGTTGAGATCATAGAATGACTTGCAAATCCACATAGATAAATTTACAGATAGATAGATAAATAGATGATGATGATAGATGATAGATATAGATAGATAGATGATAGATAGATATACACATATTTAGTAATAATGCCAACATATTAAAAATCCAGTAAGACTCCAGTGACAGGTTAGAAAGAACATGTAGCTCCTGCAGACCTTCTAAAATCTCCCCCATTATGTTTAACTCAAGCAAACATGAGGTGAATTGGCATGGTTTTCAAAGTGATGGCACCTTGACCCCACTTCACTGACTGCTGATCTTTTACAATGAAGAACCTAAAAATCAAAATGTCAAGAGATATGACACCTATAAATGTTACCAAATATATATATGAAGAAGCAACATGTATCAATGGCATGGGAAAGACCATTTCTGGATCAAACCAAAGCCCTGTATAGTCTAGCATCCTCTGTTCACAGTGACCAACCAGATGCCTCTGGCAAGACCCAAAACAGAACATCAGGGCAACAGCTCTCTCTTGCAGCTGACTAGTTACTAGTATTTGGAAGCATACTATGATCTTGGTGGTAGCATACTTATTCCGAAGGAGAAATATATGTAGCATTCAAAGTTTGCACTGTGGACTAATGAGAGCAAGCCATTAGGGAGCTGTCCTTTGCAAGTTGCCCATTGAAATTGTTACGGTAAAATCTGGGTGCGGGGCTACTCTGCCACCCAGCTCGTCGGACTAGGTCCGCGGGTCCCTGCGGAAGAAAATGAGCTCAGCCGGAGACAGGAGCAAACTGCAGAAGATCCAAGTTTATTGTGCAACAGGTTCAAGACGAGATTGAACCGCGAGAAAGGGGTGACATGAACTTTTGAAACTTCCCTCCATGTCCCAGAATACAGTGCAAAATACATCCTAGTTTGTTGGAATGAATCCACGACAGACGAGTGGCAGGTGTCATATGAGAGGCGTCTGCCGGGGCAAGCCCCGGGAACTCTCTTTTATTGAATATTACAAACATTGCCACAGGTGTGCTTGTGGCTGATTGGTTGATACAAACACAAAGCAACTTGTTGCTGATTGGTTAACATAAGTGCAAGGCGGGAATTACATATTACATTAATCACTGATAGATTAAAGGCTGAGAAACGGAGCTGGAACTAGGCAGGCATGAAGCCTCCTAATTAAATTATAACTAAAGATTGATATTGAAAGAACATAACATGAAAGAATACAACAATCACGTTCCGTAGATGTGGTCAGCAATGCATTAAGAACAGGTCAGGGTACACTGTTTCATGAACTCAATGGGAACTGTTCAGAACATTCTCAGACTCATGTGCAGAGGCAAAAACTTCCCAGCACTAGTTACATCATGAATACATTAAAAAGAGGTTGGGTTACACAGATTACATCATGAATACATTAAGAAGAGGTTGGGTTACACAGGATTAACATACGGAGGAGGGAGGGGGGATTATGCAGAGCTGGAGATATGCGCAGATAAGCACATCCTGAGTACCTGATGAGAAGACAATGGTCCATGTATGCATGGTCGGCCACCTGGCATTGCCCGGAGGAAAGGCTTGGCAGAGTGATTTGACAGGATTAGGGTCTTGACACCTTGCTTGAGGGATTATGGAGGACAGGGAAGGTGTCATGGAGTCCTAGAGAAATTGAGCAAATTGGCACGTTGATTTTCTATGAATTTTATAGATTTTAGTCCCTTTTGACATTGAGAATTGGAAATAAATGGATATATTGTAGCGAAGAAGGAGGTGAAGAAGACATGCCCCCCCCTTCCGTATCAAAATGAACAAGAGTTGTGCAAGGGCACACTAAAGTCATTCAGGGATACAGAGATGGGGAGAGAAATAACAGCAGAGCAGGCGATATCCTTTAGGTCAATCTTTCCCAAATTTGGGTCTCCAGCTCGTTTTTGGATTACAGTTCCCATCATTCCTAACCACTGGTCCTGCAGGCTAGGGATGATGGGAGTTGTAGCCCAAAAAGAGCTGGAGTCCCAAGTTTGGGAAACACTGCTAATAACAGTTTAATTTATATCCTTCCTTTCCTCCCAAAGGAGCCCGAGACAGCAAGCAATAAAACAATATAAACATCTTACAAATATGAGGGGAAATTTCATGTGAACAGGTGTATCTTAGGAAGAATCTGCTGATGAATTTGCATGAAAACATTTTTTAAAATGCATGGAACACTAGAGACCTGAATTTAAGATTGGGGAGGGGAGGGGGAGAGAAACTAAGAGAAACTGAAATTTATAGATGTGGCCATCCCTACCATCAACTAAATCAGAGAGTGCTATTTCCACCCTGGCAGTTTCTTTGAAATTTCCACCATTTTGCTGAATCACTTTTTATGAAAAATCCATAAGTTTCTTCCCTATATTTCAGTGTTTTCTGTGCAGCTGTCCTATCTTTACTTTCATTTAGGGAGGGTTTCCAGGCGATAATCTGGAGAAAAAGCTTTAACCTCACCAATCAAACTGGAGACAAGGTAGTAGCAGATGTTCCTGCCCATTCCTAACTCTGTTGTTTTTCACCAACTTCTCCACCTCCGATAGGGTGAGAAAAGCTGTTGAAAGCAGAGGACCAAGGCAGACAAAAGCACCAGAGAAGGATTGGTGGGGGTAGCAGTGATTACTTTGTCTGCCACATCACTGGCATATTTAAAGATAAAGCTCTCATTCTCTTGGTTGCAGCCCATTCTTGCACACCAGTGAACCTCCTGAGTACAGCTCAGATGGAATCAGAAATCAGCCATTTCATTCTGCAGTGATAGCTTCAAAGTACTCACAGCACTGCCAAAAAGCAAACAACACACATACACAAAGCCACCAGAAGATAAAGAACTGTGACATAAATCATTGTGTGTATGAGTCATCAATCCCTATGCTTTATTTTAATATATAACTGACTAGCACAAAAGACAAAACAAATGACTCTCCACTTGAAGAATTCATTTCTGTTTGTTAGTGCTTACAGTGTGACTGTGACAGTGAATGAGTGTGCATCTTTAATGTAGCCATTTAAAAAAAAAAACACCAAAGAAACAGGGATCACATTCAGACAATACTTGCTAGTCATGTCTGATTTGATCCATCTAAAATAAAAGATAAGCATTTTATTTTTGCAATGCCCCATAAATGTCCTGCTGCTCTCTCTGTCAAGTCAACTGCATATCTTGGTGACTTCAATGTAAGCTAATGAAGCTTTTCTTACATTATAGAGAAGCTGTCCCCATAAATAGATAATGTTGGGAAATGTATGCAAACCCGTTATTTTGCAAAATGTGATGGGATGGACTTTGCTTGCTTTCCTGCTTTCCCCAGGCCTGAAAGAGATGCGAACTGAAGATTTGATTATGAAGGTCAATGCTCATCAATACTTCCAGGGAAGCAAAGGGATTGTCAAGATTAAACCCTGGAAAGATGAATTGTACAAAAATTGTGACCAGAGAGGTTAATAATAAGAGGTCTTATACACTTTAAAACAGGGAGAAGTCATGGCTGGAGATAATCTGTTCTGCAAAGTGTACACTCTTGTTGATGCCCATCTTAGACCAGAGTCTCTGATGCCTTTTGAAATCAACAACAAAAAGAGATGTTCTCTGTTCATCTAACTTATCAAAGCAAGCCTTGCCTAGGGCCTTATTCCAGAACAAAGAAGAGAAGAAATGATCAAAGAGACTGGACCCAACAGGAACCAGACAGCAACAGACTAATTGGACATTCTCTGTCCTCCGCTCATGTGGTACTGCTTTATCCTAGTTCTACTAAATTCATGCACCTTTGCAGCTGTTTTGCAACACTTGGATTAATTAATTAACTTTCTACTTTCAGGCAGTAATTATTGTTGTATCACCATCTGAAAAGCAGCACCTCCAAATTAGTCCATATCTGATAGTTGATTTTAGGCTGTAAAGCAGGGGTAGTTAACCTGTGGTCCTCCAGAGGTCACTGAATTACAACTTCCATATTCTCTGCCCATTGACCATGCTGACTGGGGCTGATGGGAATTGAGGACCAGGGACTTCTGAAGGGTCAAAGATTAGCCACTCCTGATGTAAAGCTCTAAATGGCTATTGGCCAGATTATTTATACCAGGGAAGTCAAACTCCCAAGAGACTGCAATCTACTCACAGTATAAAAGAATGGCAGTGATCTACCCATTGTCAGAGTTTTTGAGCTTTTTTTAGGGAGCCAGAGTTGTTGATCAAAAGATCAACCAGGATCAACCAGGGACATCCCGCAATCGACCAGTAGATTACAATAGACCTGTTGGACATGCCTGATTTATACCAAGTGAATTACAGCAGCCACAGTAGCAGCCAAGCTGTAGGATGACCTTTCAAGAGAGGCTCATATGGAACCCACTTTGTACTATTTTCAGTGTCAGAAAAAGTTTATTTTTTATTTTATGGGGGGAGGGGAGAGATTACAGGGCATTTTAGAGGTTCTTTATGGCTTTCAAAAGTGTTAAGGTCTGCTTGTGAGTCTTGTATTGCTTGATTTTGTTCTCTGATGCTTACAGTTTGGAAAAAGAACTTTTTTATTTTTATTGAAGGGTGGGGGAGGTTTCTGTAAACCATCCAGAGAATATTGGTTCTGGTTATTCCAGGCAAAGAGCCTTCTTGATAGTGGTGCCTGCCCTGTGGAACACCTTCCCATCAGATGTCAAGGAAATAAACAACTATCTGACTTTTAGAAGACATCTGAAGGCAGCCCTGTTTAGTGAAGTTTTTAAGGTATGGTATTTTATCACATTTTTAACATTCTGTTGTGAGTTGCCCAGAGTGGCTGGGGAAACCCAGCCAGATGGGTGGGGTATAAATTAATAATAATAATAATAATAATAATAATAATAATAACAACAACAATACATAAATTAATAATAGTATCTAGATGAATCTTCCCAAGCAAGAAAGCCAAACTGAGATTGAGAAATGAGGCAAAGGGGAAGGTAGAAAGCCAATCCAAGGCCAATTCCAAGATGTGCTAGAAGTGGAAAAAAGGGAAAGGGATAGTTTCATTTGCGGGGTTGGGGGTTGGGAGAGGACATGGGGTGATTTTATTTCATAAGAACATAAGAGACATGCTGCATCTAGTCCTCAAGGACTGCTTCTCCCCATATAAACTGACCTGGACTCTGTGTTCATCATCTGAGGTTGTTCTTTGTGTGCCTCCTCCTCTTGAGGTCTGGAGGGTGGCAACACAAGAACAGCGTCTTTCTGCAGTGGCAGCCCATTTACGGAATGCTCTCACCAGGGATGTTCTCCTGGTACCTTCGTTATATATCTTTAGGTGTCAAGTGAAAACGTTCTTCTTTGGCCTGATTAATATCCCACAGCCTAAGAAATGTGTTTGTGGGAAGGGGGGGTTATTGTTTTGTTGTTTTTGTTTTAACTATTTATTTGTTCTTTTACCTTTTATTTTTATCTTGTGAAGTACTCTGAGATCTTGTGATGTAAGGCTTTATATAAATCTATAATCATCACCATCGTCATCTAGCATCCTGTTCTCACAGGGCCCATGAGAAACCTGCAAACAAGAACTGAGTATAACAGCACCCCCCACACTTGTGATTCCCAGTAAACTGGACCCTCTAGATCCGAAGGTAATTCATCCCAGGGGTCCACACTTACCCGGAAAAGCTTCTGCGCTCATGCATGGTGTGATAGAGCACTTCTGTGCATGCATGTGTGGCGAACTCTTGCCGCATTTGTAACTCGAAATTATGTTACCCAAAGGTATCATAACCCAGGTACCACTGTAACTGGTAATTCATAGGCTTACTGCCTGTGATAATGAAGGTAGAACATGGATTTTAAACTCGCCTATTTCTTCTAGTCCAAACAATTAGGGTCATGTTGTACTAGCATACAGAGAAGAGAGCAATATAGGAAGAATTATCTCATCACATTTCAGTTGTCTAGTCATTATTGGTATTCACATTCTGTACAGCTATTCCTGTGTTTCGCTGGTTAGCATCATTTTCTCTTTAAGCATTTATGGCTGAGTATGCAATGGCATCTTCAGTGCATATTTAAACAGCTCTCCACTTTTGGGTGCTTGATTGGTTGGATGGATTACAAAAAAAAAGAAAACGACAGAAGTGCAAGAAACAATTGATGGCATTTATTTTAAAATCTACAGATGCTTGCTGATATAACATTGACTTTAGCTCAGAGAGGTAATTGCAAACAGCAGGAAAAAGTCTCACAAATAAACTTCGGCTCTAGATTTGATTTAGAATGTGCTAATAAATGTGAATGTAGTGGCTGCCATTAAAGAAAATAATCTGGAGGGATTTCTAAAAATACGAGCTTCTGTAAAGCAATTTCCTGCAGGGTACATAAAATCATAGCTTCTAAAGGGTCTATTTTCCAGGCAGTTCCAGTTAGTTAATATCTGGTAACTAGCACAGGCTTGTTCTCCATAGCCAGACATTTGTCTTTAAACCAATGATTGCTTCTAAATATGCAATGCAGCATATATTTGGGGTGATTTAAAAGGATAAATAGCCCATCATACTAGAATGCAAGCAAACAAGGCCTGTTGAAAAGAGAACCAGAAGTTTAAAATACTTTAAAGCACATGAACATTTTTTACAGGACTTCATTGAAGGGGTTGGGCTGAAACCTGTCTTTCAATTTATAAAAAAGCTTTATTCTCCCATGAGAGAGACTTCTCTTTGTCTATGTTCCATTCACAGGGCACATTTAGAATGTTTTTAGCATTGAGTTTAACTTTATAATCCTGAGATAGCCAAGGGCAGTGTGTAGGTTTTTCTTTCCATTAAACATTTATCCAGCACTCTGCAGCCTCCCTGGCTGCCCTCATTTCCTGATTGGAAAAAGCCCCATGAGAGAAATTACCTCATGATGCTTCCCCACAGGCTTTAATTGAAATGTGGGAGGTTATTGGGGCTGACTACTTAGCACCTGATATCCTTGTACTTACTGGTTTTGTCTTTAAGTGAAGTTCTTACTTCCCTTTAAAAAACCCTAAAAAGACTTTTCTTAAAACAAAACAAAAGCAAGCAATGAACAGCGGTCAGTTGGATGGGAGAACTCTGATTACAGGAAAGCCCAGCTGAGGATGTAATGGGATTTTTAGGAAATGCAGATACCTGGGACGGCTGTGGAAAGCAGACCACTGGAGAGATGATTTGTAGAATGAAAGTACACTCACAAAACTGCTCAGTCAACTTGAGCGATAAAAAATCCACTCCTTTGGATGTTTCACCACAATTTCTCCCCTTCTTTTTAAAGTTTCTTTTCTTTTCTTAACTGATGGAGAATAGCCTAGAAAGATACAGAAGAATTTTTCAGTGCAGTAGTAGAAGGAATCTATGGTCATGGAATGTGAATTTCTGTAATCCTACATGTTAAAGGCCATGTGTACTTGTTATCCCAGTGGGATGGTATCTGGCCTGTTCAAATAGCAAACATTAACTGGTTGCTTGTGTGAAGTGGCTTGTATGAAACTGAGGCTCATTGTAACCATGAGGCTCATTCTTGAGGCAGCCCTGCACATGTCGTGCATCGCAAGTCCAGTGGCCAGCTCCTCCAGAGCAGCTCAGACTCCTCCACTGTGTGCAACATCACATTCATGTGATTCATGCCAGGCACCCCCCAAGCTTGGGGGCAACCTGGTGCCTCTGGTTATATGGGCATTTTTTAACACAAGTGCTTAGCTGTGCAGGTCAGTAACCTGATGGTTGGGATAATGTATAAATAGGGCCAAAGAAAATTCAGAAAGGTTACAGGGTATATATAATTTTATGTAGTATGGACTGTATTTGGGAGTGAAGCGTGTATGTGATGAATCTGTGATTACACATCGTAGGTCTGTGATGATCAGTCATCAAAACTGCATGGCTAAGCTTCATAAGACTACATTGTGGTAGAGGTAACCATACGTGGATCTTCTATATGGATTAGTCTCATTATTTTTAAAAAATGTAAGGCAATCTGAACAAAGCTGGCTGATCAGTTAATTTTGCTAGTCAGTTTTAACTGGACTGTTATCACAGCTACATAATTAAACCTTCTCTATAACTCCTTTAGCTGATCCAACCTTGTCAAGCCATTAGGAGATGGAGAAATTATTTTATTTTCTGAAAGTTTCTATTCCACAAAGCATGCATAGTTGTTTCCAAAGAACTTTCCATGTCAATGGCAGGAAATGAAGGAAACACTTAACGTGGGATCAAGGTTACATTGCTATGGGGGAAAATAAAAATTCACTTCAGAAAATGTCAATCATTTCATTTCATAACCAGGATAATTTCTTTTCACATGTTTGAATGGAATGATCCTGTCTCTAATTAAACTTTCCACTCTCACATCACATCACATCACCACAGAAACACCTGTTTGTTTGTGTGTGTGTGTGTGTGTGTGTGTGTGTGTGTAGTTACAAGCCACATCATTGTCTCTAAGTTCAGCCTTTTTACAAAGTTGCTAGATACTTTTATACTGACAACCTGAATTACATAAGAGGAGTGTCTTCTGAAATATTTCAAATGTTGTAGGAAGAATAGTAAGTCTCTCCTCTGGGTGGACACAGTTATATAAGATGATTAACACTTGCCTCATTCCAAACCTGCTGAAATCAATAGTTGTCTTTCCACCGGGAGTTATATCATGCCCTTGCTGCATACTTTATATAAAAACAGTTGCTCTATTATTATTTTTTCACATTCTTTCAGCAGACAGAAGGGAATGCAAATCAGGATGTTATAAGCATTTTTATTTCTATTTTTAACCAGTGATCACCAACTTATGGCATAACTGAGGTAGAGGTTTGATTCTTTTGTCTTTTCTAAAAAAAAATCCAATGGAACATGTTAATTCGTGTTCCTTGTTCTTTCTTTCTTGTAATCATTATTCTTACATTCAGAAAGATCATTAAATCTCTCTGACAATCTTTTGTGGAAGCCTGACATCAGTTCTAATTACATGCTCACTATGTGGAAGGTTTTTATGTAATTGGTTCTTTTTTTCCCCTTAAAAAAATATGTAATTCTATTGTTGACTCTGGTTCCTGTAACTTCCTTCTTTTCTAGGGTATCAGTTGTCATTACTGCTCTTGAAGGTATTGCAGATTTTTTTTTTTTTTAATCCACTTGTATTTCATATAGAAATCTTCCTGGCTTGTATTTCATGAACCACACCTCTTCCATTTCAACTGCAAAATTCTATCCGGTTTTCTGAATACAGAGAACAAAACTCTCAGCATACCAGATACACTAGCTTGTCCCTGCTTGCATGCATATTTTTCAAATTCATTATTCATTTGTCTTTTGCTCTCAGGCTAGACAGTGATCTACAAATAGTTTCTAACAAATGGAAACCGATCTGTTTATGGGTACCCACTTGATTGCCAACCACCTTGATAGGAGTTTAATTGAAATGAATCAATGGTTTTAAAGAAAATACCAATGACAAGAATACTAGGCTACATCCAACAAAGTCATATTTTGAGTAGTCCCACTGAAATCAGTAGATCCCTAGCTCCTTTTCACATGTACTGCTAGTAAGCCAGATGTCCCCCCATGTTATATTTGTGCAGCTGGTTCATCCTGCCTAAGTGTAGAACCTTACATTTGTCCCTATTGAAATTCATTTTGTTAGTTTGGGCCCAATTCTCCATTCTGTTAAGGTCAGATTGAATCCCAATTGTGTCTTCTGCCGCATTAGCTACCCCTCCCAGTTTGGTGTCATCTGAAAATTTGATAGCAAACACTCAAGTCCTTCATCCAAGTCATTTATAAACATAAAAACAGGCTCAGGACAGAAACTTGTGGCACCTCACTTGTAACTTTTTCCACATAATGACTGAACCAAGCACCCCCCCTCCCCTTAAATCTGCCTTTGCTTCCTCTGTGTGCTGTACATGTTCAATTGCACACAGAATCTCCTATTTGCAGCGAGGCTGATGCAAAAAAATGCAGTCAGATGTGGATTGCATTTTGTGCCATTGCTTTTCAGTTGGAACTCACAGAATCATCAGGCAATGGCTAAAATGCAGAAAGAGCCCTGTGTATTATCCCTCTGGATAAGTTTTTCAAACAAAATGAGACAAGGAAAAAGTGAAGAGTAAAAGTTTTACTTTGTAATTTAGATGTGCATACATCTTTTGAGAAAAGAGGCAATATTTTTTTCCTTCTTTCTTTCCAAAAGATTAAATGTTGGTGAATAAAAGTTAACCGAGTACTAGAAAGCAATGCTAGAGGCTGTTCTAGATGTCATTGTAAAGCAGTACAAAGTGATAATCATGTTAGGAGATGTGGAAGCAAACCCTTATCCTAAAGGCAAGACTGAAGGTCAGCCATTAGGAATGGCCCATACGGAACACAACATTTTCCTTCCTCTCAAATGTTCAAAGCTGTGATACTGAGGCAAATAAATATCAGAAAAACAGCATCTTGACCCTCTGCTGTTCCTGCTTCTGGGAAATCTAGGGAGGTCCTTGAATCAGAAGACAAGCTTCTCAAGAAGAGAAACTGCTTGTTTCAGACAATGGACCATTCTTGTTTGTTGGCTGAGACTCTACCTTCCTGCCCACTTTCTTGCCAGGGTAGTACATACGCTGGTTATCTCCTGATTGGACCAGATAAATGCATTCTACATGGGGATATATTTGAAAGTGACTCAGAAACTACAATTAATCCAGAATGCAGCTGTCAGACTGGTGACTGGGAGCAGCTGCTGGGAATATATACCATGAGTCCTAAAAGAACTACATTGGTTCCCAGTACATTTCCAAGCACAATTCAAAGCTTTGCTGTAGACCTTTATAGCTCTACATGGCTTCGGACCTGTATATCTGAAAGTGTGTCTCTTCCCCCACTGTTCAGCCTGGATACTGAGGTCCAGTTCCAAGGGCCCTCTAGTGGTTCCCTCATTGTAAGAAGTGAAGCTACAGAGAACCAGACAGAGGGCCTTCTTGGTAGTTGCACCCACTCTGTGGAATGACCTTCTGTCATATGTCAAAGAATTAAACAACATCTAAAAGCAGGCCTGTTTCAGGAAACTTTTAATGTCTGATGTGTCTCTCCACCCAGACCCTCTGTATCTTGTTGGAAGTCACCCAGATTGGTTAGGGTATAAGAAATGAATTTATTATTATTATTATTATTATTATTATTATTATTATTATTATTAACGTCTGCTACTTGGACTAGTGCAGGGGTAGGGGATCTCAGGAACCAAATGCAATCCTCCAAGCCACTGTTTAATCCTCATCTCTCATTGTATGCTGAGGATGACCCACTCTGGAACCACCTAGTTAAGGGCAGGCAACAAATATAGCATCATTATTATTACCCATACCACACCTCATTCCTCAGCTATGCACCCTTTGCCCATGCAACACCCCTCACCTGCTTGGCATCCTCCTTGACTATTTCTGGAATGTGTCCTTGAACTCTGATAATACATCAGAAAAGCTGGGAAAGGCTTAACAGTGGTAGAACATGCAGAAGGTGCCAAGTTCAACCCCTGGCATATCTAGGCAGGGATGCAAAAGACTCTTATATGAAACCTAGATTCACTGTCAAACAATGTAGACAATACTGACCTCATTGGACCATGGGTCTGGCAGTTTCATATCTTATGTTCCTCTTGCTTGAACTTCAATTTTTTGCTCCTGGGACGTCCCACCAGCACACACTTAACAATAAGCAGAGTCTGGAAAAGTATGTTTACCAGTGGCACCAACTTGAGCAAAACATTGAGGGGAGCCAGTACCATTCTCCTTTCCAGTCGGGGGTTGGGGTGGGGTGGTTAGCCTGTCGTGCACCCAGACAGGCACAGCGAGCATCAACAGCATGGTTGGGGCACTCATTCTGCCTTCTTCCCTCCTTCCCTTGGTCAGCTGGACAGGCACACTCTTCAGCCCTTGGGCCACCATTGCAGTAGTTTCAGGGGTGAAGTCCCCTGAGGAGGTTGCATTTCCCTGCCACGGGAGAGCACCACATCCACTGGCTCACCTGTCTGCATGTTTGTAGGAAGCAAGGGAGGCAGGCAGGCAGGTGGGGGGATAAAAAATATTGAGGGGGCTGTGCCCCCAGAAGAAAGTATTGGGAGGGCAAATGGACTCTGCCCCCTAGAATTGGGGCCTATGATGTTTACACAGTGTCTCTGGCCCTGAGGTGGCATAATCTGAAAACTGAAAAAGATAGAACTGCATAACCCTGAAGCTTAATCTATCATGGCCTGCTAGATATTTGGCAACCCTCCTATTTTTTGCAGTCCCAGATAGGAAGTAAAACCTAGTAGGTTTATTGAGTCCCATGAATATTATGGATGGTAACTAGGCTGTGTTCAACTTGTAGACCAAAAGTCTTGTAGGCCGAGCTGATACGAGGAAACATAGAGAACTTCAAGGAATATATTTGGATTGATCACATACAAGAGATCAAGAGTGCTGAGAACAGTCCTGCATCCAAAATAATTCTCTAAAATATTCAGTACCATTAGACATCAAACCTCAAACCATTTCTTCACACAGAAAGGACAACTTTTAAGCTTCACCTTGAATTTCCAGTCCTCCTTGAATTCGGATAAGACCTGCAAGGAAAATGGAGAATGACAATGAATGTTTTTTGAACCAGTCATTTATCTTGGTTTAATAGGCACTAAATGTGTCCTTTCTGTCTCCAAATATCAAGCATTTGAGCTTTTCATTTGAAAGTGATATTTGTGCCCACAGCATATCTCAGTAATTCACTTAGGGCAGTTGAAGCAACATTATGAACATTTCCAGGAGGAAAAAGTCCTACCTAGCTATATTCTAAAGCTGTTTTCTGTTTTCTACAAAGAAAGTAGCATTCTAAAAACCCATTTATATTCTGTAATATTTTTAAGCACAGATGCTCTTATGTGCTGCAGAATTCTGTCAATTTTCATAAAAAGGCTTCAGTTCTGATGCTTACCATGCTTACCTAGGTCAACATTTTATTATTAAAATTGGATTTTCCTTTCAAATTGTTGCATTCCTAATGCCAGCATCTATTTATATATCTTAAAGAATAATACAAGTCACCTGTTCAATATAATGTTCAGATATGGTTCAGCTCATAGCTCCTGTTTCCAGTTTTTGCATTGATGACATGCAGATGGTACTTCAGTATTTGAAATGCTGTTTCTCTTTGTAGGAAAATCAGTTTCTACCAGCAACACTGACTGAGGCCTGTAGAGGCTTCTCTCCACACTGTACTTTGTTTTGAGAAACCCTAATCTTCTCACTGGAGAGCAACTGGACATCTCTGCTCAGGAGCCAATCAATGCAGCTTATTAATCAATTTGAGTGATTTGCTGTGGAACAGCTTCTTTCTCCCTAGTGTGATGTGCTTAGTTCACAACACCCCCAGATCCCCTCAGCTAGTCCACAGAGTGAGGCAGCTGAATCCTGATGCGAAGGTAGAAAAGCATGCCCAAGTCATAGTAAATTATATCCTAATGCCTCTGTAATGAATCCCAAATTTGCAAAAACACAAACCACCTACTGTTTGCGAGCTCTGTAGTGATTGAATTGGCTAGCTGGGGATGCATCTCATTTGAAGAATGCTTTGAATAATGTGGCCTTGATTTTATGAAGCCTTCTTGAGAGAAATGGCATAAGAGAATGCAATTAATCAAGAACAAGATTTTAAGACTTGATGGATTGAGTGGTTGCAGTTTTAAATGTAAAAGGAAGGCTCATTTTCAAGATGTTGCTAATTGTAAATCACACCCTGAGATGTTTTGTTGGAAATGCAACTGCAGTTGAGAATCATTGTTGTTTTCAATTTGGTACTTGTATTTCAATATAAAAACACTATATATTGTTTTGATGGTTTCTCACAATGCTCTTGATTTTTAAAATTTGAATGCCCCGTAAATGACCACCAGCAAATCTAAAATCAGATATCCTTAATGTCTATCACAATTGCTTGCATAAAGAAGTGGTTATACGGTGGCTAACCTAAGTAGCTGCTAAGAATTATTGCGACTCCCAAAACATTATTTTCCATGTAGCTTTTGTTACAAATTCAGTTGAAGTTAATGAGTTTTGACTAGTGTTATGCTGGGCACAATCTATTGTGTTTGCGCAGGCCTAACTTAAAATGGCTATGCCAAAGAAAAGAGGCCTTACTGATAGACTGTAAGGAGAAAATCCACAGTAGGGATGACTGAATTGGTCAATTTCAGTTTCTTTTTATCAGGGGTGCTTCTAGGCTTGAGGGGGATGAGATGACAGACTATTGTACTCTTTTCTTGTTTCCCACTATCATTGACTTCTTCTTTTTTTACCTCTGTGGTTGTTGTAATTTACAGTGGCCAAACTATTCCCTCTCTCCCTTGATGGCTGGCTAGTTGGGTGACAGGTAGGGAAGCTGGAACATGTGAGCAAAGCTTCTGGCTGGTGTGCACTGCAAAGCAAATTGCTGAGCCAGCCAGCTCCTCTGAGGTTCCAGCTGCTCATCATACTCATTTTAAGAATACAGTGGTACCCCTGGTTGTGAACGGGATCCGTTCTGGAGGCCCGTTCACAACATGAAAAGAGCGCAACCCGCAGCGATGCATCTGTGCACGCGCAGGTTGTGATTCGCCGCGTTTGTGCATGCAGGTGATGTCATTTTGCGCTTCTGTGCATGCGCGAGTGGCGAAACCCGGAAGTAACAATTTCTGGTACTTCCGGCTCTCTGCGGGACATAACCTGAAAGAACACAACATGAAGCGGACATTACCATGAGGTATGACTGTACCTAACCTTAGTGCAGAAGTGGCAGTGAGCTCTGCCAGTGAGACACTAGTTTTGGTATTGTGGGACCAATGATGGTGCCAGAGTAGCAGGGGGCAACCAAAGCCCCCCTTAACCCCCCCGTCCCTGCTCTCATTGCCCCGTGACCCAAATGGTAGTGTCTAATGGGTGTAGTATCACTGCCGCTAAGAGCATAATAATGTAAACAAGAGCCTGCTAGACCAGGCCAGTCACCTATGTTGTACAGTGGTACCTCGGGTTACATACGCTTCAGGTTACATACGCTTCAGGTTACAGACTCCCCTAACCCAGAAATAGTGCTTCAGGTTAAGAACTTTGCTTCAGGATGAGAACAGAAATTGTGCTCCGGCGGCGCGGCAGCAGCAGGAGGCCCCATTAGCTAAAGTGGTGCTTCAGGTTAAGAACAGTTTCAGGTTAAGAACGGACCTCCAGAACGAATTAAGTACTTAACCTGAGGTACCACTGTATGGGTTCTCACAGTGGCCAACCAAATGCCTGTGGGGAACTCTCAGGCAGGATTCAAGCAGCAGAGCACTCTTCCTTCCTGTGGTTTCCAGCAACTTCTTCATCTTTCCATTTTGGGGCAAATAACATTCTTGCGCTGTAGTTGCAAGTTTGTTGTTTACCATTTTGGGGCAAAGTTTTTTTAATTTCCCCAGACTTTTTTTTTTTTTTTTTACTAATTTCTGCCAAGACACCGTATTCTGGATATGTTCAGGAAATGTATGGCTGATGTACAGCAACCCTATTCTCTGTTTACCGTTTCTACAACCTTATGTTCAATCTGCCTCATTTCTGCATTAGTTCATGATCACCTTTCCCCCCCCCAAAAGTCCACGCAAAATGTTGTTCTTGTTTTAATGCGTATTTCTTCTAATATGCATATTTTTGCAAGCAATTTTCCTTAGCATAATCCCATTTTTTTGGTACAGTTTATACGAATATACACATTTTTGTGTGCATGAATATATAAGCTTCGTTGTTTGTTTGGAGAACTTCACCACAAAATTTACAGAAGTGCAAATTTATAAGGATAACTGGGTTTTGGTTCATAATAGTGGTTTAGGGAATGCAACGGAAGTGTGAATGGAATGAGTTTATCTCCCATCCCTAATTCACAGAAAATATTCACTCTTCTGTGTTTTCCATTGGTTCCAATGGCTGGCAAACTACCGAGCTCAAAATGTCAGGCACATAAGAAGGCAAATGAGCAAAGCTCTTTTGTTCCAAAAAGCAATAAAATGGGACTTAGAAAGACCTCACTATTTTTCTGTTTCCCCAAGAGAGGATTTTGTCTCAAGTTTTCATTTGCCATAGGACAGGCTTATCAGAAACCAGGAGGACAAGATGGATGGTGATCAAGGCAGGGCAAATTAACCTCTTAATAGGACCTAGTATCCTTAATTGACTCCATTCTGGCCAATGGGAAAACATAGGAACAAAGGTCGCTGTCTCACACTAAATCAGACTACTGGTCCGTCTAGCTCAGTATTGTCTACACTGACTAACAATGGCTCTCCAGGATTTCAGTAAGGGTTTTCTCCCAACCTTGCCTGGAGATGATGGGGACTAAACCTGGGACATTAGCAGTTCTATTACTGAGCTACGATATTTTCCCTAAACTGATGGGGCCGATATACACATATTTCTATAGAAAAATATGTATGTTGAGGAAGAGGGTGGTGGTTTGTTTGTTTGTTTGTTTGTTTGTTTAAAGATACAGGGAAATTATACTTCATACCACATCAGTTTGCTTTCAGCCTTCTTTCTGTTGTGAAACAGCACCTTCTGCAAGCCCAATTCAAGCAATCGTATTCAAAGACATAGACAGATTCTAACCTCTCAGTTAACAGGTCCACAAAATCCTAAGCACCAATTTTTTCAAGTCCTATATAGGCAGGTTAAATTTCACAATATAGCCATTGATTTCTTTATTGAATGCCCTTGCAGCATCATTTTTCAAACAATGATATTCTTAAATGGAGCATGTGCTACTTTTGATTTTCGTTTGGGATCTCAGAATGTGTTAAAACTGTCTGATTTTCTTTTTGCTAAATGGCAGGAAGAAAATGAGACCAGAAACCTCATAGCACAGAAGTCTCAGTTATAGATCACTTTCTTCCATACCTTTAATTTGCTTTATATCAAATTCTTATTTCCCATAGAGAAACGTAAGTGCCAATGTACTCATTAGAACAAAAAATCTGTCTTATTTTGGGGTGTCCTTTTAAAAATGTGCAATCCATCTTTTACAAGTCGCTGATGGAGCACCAGGCTCAGTCCTCATGAAATCAGCAAAGTTTTGCCTTCAAAGTAGGCCTGTAAAGAACGATGTCCTTACTTTGAAGAAAGCATATAAAGAAATTTCTCACAGGTGTGTGTCTGTAACTACTGTAGAATACCACTTTGAGGTTTTAATCTGTGTCTACAGATGGCAATCTATAGATACTCCAGAACATTTATGCTTTTGTACCTTTCACATGTTGCAATCTCTGCACCAGACCTAGAACATGGTGCCAATAATCTCTTCAGAACAAGACAATGGTTGAGGCTTTGGGGAAATGACAGTCACAGATAATACACTTGCTCATATTTGAAAACTGCAGGCATTAGAAGCTATATATTGGCCGTATTTTTCAAACGATCAAGGTCTTCAGCTCCTGTTGACATTAGCAGAGTTTCTTGGTGCTCATTGCTTTTGAAACTGAAGCCATCACAGTTAGCAAATGTATATATTTAGCTCCTGTGATGCTTCTGTAGCTGAGAAAAGTTAGAAGTGATTGAAAATAGTTTTTATAAAACTAATCTTAACAATGGCACCAGATGTGGATGGGGCGTTTTTTGGAAGTGGGAGAATGAGAGATACCAATTCTTTATTCTATTAAAGGTTTCTAAGAATGACACTTGATATTATCAGAGAGTTTAGTGCCAAGTAGGATAATTAGGTGAGTTGTAGAAGATCAGGTGATAGAGAGATGATTTCATTTTGTATCATATGCCATAATAATTTCCATGCACTAAAATCTCTAATGTCCCTTTCAAGGGATCTGCTGTATTAATGTAGAAAGGAGAAATGTGCCCAAATACCAGTTAATGCATAGTTGAATGACACAAAATGACATCCAGTTATTCCTGCCCCAGGGATAAAGATTTTGATGTGGTTGTGCAATTTATATCCTTAAACTACAGATCTCTGAGGTGGGCAGGGCAATGCAAATCAATCTATGGAATCTATGTTTGAATTTCTGTATATCTCAAGCACTGTCTAGGAAACAGTTCACAATAAGTAAACATTCAGTCAATATTTGTTATTAATCAGCACCATTCTGGAAGCTATATTTACTTTTTAAGTGTACATCTGAATCTGTATTAACTCCTGTTAACTTTTTTTCTATCAATCATGCTCCAAAATCTTATTTTCATAGTCTGACATTTTTACTCATCAGTAAACACAGTGGTATTCAGTGGGATTTTATTGGCTGTGCTAGCATATGGGACAAGTCAGGTGAACACCATTAAAAGATGCCACACCACTCAGGAGACATAAAAGGGTAAATGAACAAATTAACATTTAAAGAAGAGATAGTCCACATTATAGTGGTAGCTAATGAACACTTGTCTAAAGCAATATTTGCTGCTGTAAATTAGTTGTCTTATGCACACTGTTGACTAAATCAGGAAATAAAGTTCTGTTCTTAAACATGTGCAAGTCTTACATGACAATATACAATCCTATGCAAATTTTCTCTGAAGTAAGTGTCATTTCTTCAGTGAAACACATATTAATATAGACAAGTGTAAGAAGTTTCTTTTCTTTTATATGGTACAATTATTCATGGAAAATATTGTTTCTTGATCTATTTTACCAAAACAGTTTTACGTAAATTTGAGGTCTTCTTGCCTTTCCTAAAGACCCGAAGTTGACAGAATCTGAACGCAGTCATCTGCACACTTATCTGTGAATAAGGATCAGTTGAATAAGATGAGCCTCACAACTCAGTAAACATGCATAGGATAGCTGTGATCCTTAGCACAATTTCTAGGGATTAAGCCCCACTGAACACAGGAGAACTTTTGTTGTCATTTAGTCGTGTCCAACTTTTCGTGACCCCATGGACCAGAGCACGCCAGGCACTCCTGTCCTTCACCGCCTCCCACAGCTTGGTCAAACTCATGTTGGTAGCCTCGAGAACACCGTCCAACCATCTCATCCTCTGTCGTCCCCTTCTCCTTGTGCCCTCCATCTTTCTCAACATCAGGGTCTTTTCCAGGGAGTCTTCTCTTCTCATGAGGTGGCCAAAGTATTGGAGCCTCAGCTTCAGGATCTGTCCTTCCAGTGAGCACTCAGGGCTGATTTCCTTAAGAATGGATAGGTTTCATCTTCTTGCAGTCCATGGGACTGTCAAGAGTCTCCTCCAGCACCATAATTCAAACGCATCAATTCTTCGGTGATCAGCCTTCTTTATGGTCCAGCTTTCACTTACTTATGGGTAAATAATTATAGGATTTGTCTGAAAATGACATAAAACTAGAGTTAGATGAAATAAAATAAAAAAATATGAATGTGATCCATATCCTACTCTTGAAGGCTTTAGAACCACAAGCCATCAAAAACCAATGGGGGGTTTAAAACTCCCATGGTCCTCTTGTTACTAGTGATCTCCCACCCATCATCACTTACCTCCATCACCAGCCCCCCCACTTGACTCAAAGTTAATTTTCATTTTACTTTGCTTAGGAAGGAATTAGGTACTTGGTAGGGGAGAGGCTTCAGCCATTTTGATGGGTATTTTCTTTCCCCCACTTCCTTAAAAAAAACAACCACTCCCCCTCCAGCCCCCTCCCCCACCAAAAAATAAACGAGAGAGGGAGAAAAGGTTTTTTAATGTGTGGTCAGGGGAGTTTTAATATTGCTGGCTGAGAGTGATTAATTTTCATTACTTGATTGTCCTCTGGATGTAGACACTACTTTTTATAGGTCCTACCTTCTTTCCAAGATAGACAGAGGAAAGGAATCAGGTTCTCTTCACAAATCCAGCTTCAAATAATTACAAAATCTTCCACCACTGTGGATTTCCAAATCGGCATGTTGCGTGCATTGCTGTATAATGATTTTCTTACTGGAATTTCTTTCACAGCATGGCTTCTAACCCATAAGTGGCATACTAGTGCTTCTTCATCCTTTTCTTTTCATTTTTTTCTGATGAAAATGGTTGTCATCTCAGTGTCCACAGGTTGAAAGGCTTTCACATTTTTCCTATAACCCCAGTCAGCAGTTTTATATTGCAAAAGGGGGTGGGGGGAATTGGCATAGACTTCATATTTCTAGGTCTGCTACTGTGTACCTAGTAGCCAGTTTGAGAAGCATGCTGAGTTTCTATTGCTCTTCCCATGTCTTTTACCATTAGTGTCTTAGAAAAATTTCTCCAGCACAAGAAGCTGTAATTGCAGCTACTTGGTGACCACCTGAGAAAATTACCTTTACCATTAAAAGTGAATGGATGAAAAAGGCTCGGTTCATCCTTCCTCTACAAAAACATATCTCAAGCAGAGCACAAGCATCAAGGTGATCTGGGGAACTGAATGGGGTTTCACAGGGCACTTAGATATCTTTGTGCATGTCAATATTTTTCTGGAACAATATTCATTGAGAAAAGATAAATTTGTATCTAACTAAATTAAGAATGTAAGGGTTGTATCCAACTAAATTAAGAACATAAATAGGACCTGCTGGGTCAGGCCAATGGCTCATTTTGTCCAGCATCACAGTCTCATAGTTGCCAACTAGCTGCCTATGGAAAGCCCAAAAGCAAGACCTGACTGCAACAGAAATCTCCCTACCAGTGATTCCCAATAATTGGTATTCAGAACCATACTGCCTCTGAAGTTCTACTCAGCCCCAATGAAATCAATTTACTTGTTAGTCATGAGTTTCAATGGGTCTGCTCTGTGTATGGCTAACACTGGATACAATCCCCAAAATGAAAAATGCTACTTAAGTAAGAGACAGGCAGCCTAAGTATGTTTTAAAGATTTATCTCCCCAGATTTGCAGTGTCCCTGGCTGTAGTGAAATTATCGGAGGGCATGTCTGCATAGAGGGAGCTTGGCCACACAACTATTCTCAAAGCTCTTCATAGCTCAGAGCACAGTCTAATCTGAATAGCAGCCATACAAAAGGGTATTCCATCAACATTTTGAATTCCCATCAACTGATTGCTGCTCTGAGTCATGTGAAAAGGGAAACACTATACCATGTCTTGTTATATTACAAGATATTGTATGGGCCTCCAGATGTTTCAATCCAGCCATGGTTAAAATAGTTGTGGCATCTAAGTATGGTAGGAAAATGTTTCACAAGGATTGTGACCATTATTGTATCTGGCCTCCCTAAAGACTTCTCCACGCTTTAAATACTTCTGGAGATAATCCAGTATTTGTTACCTAGCCATACAGCAGAATTCCATTCCCCTGGTGACAGTACTGACAATAAGCCCCAGGCAAAAAGAGCATATGCTCAACAAAGGAGTGGGGGGAAAGGAACAGAGCCTTGATGTACCAGAGTGTAGAAACCCTCCTCCAGAGATTTAATTCAAATTGCTGCAAACTTGTGCAACCTCTGCTGCAGCATCTGCTTTCACAAGTCTCACTTCTCTGGTAGAACAATAGTTTACATCTACTAAAATGAGCGGGTTCTATCTGCATCTCTCACTTTTGTTTTGACACGGAGACATGCCAGGTTGAACTGACCCCCGTCACTCCTTGAATGGATGGACACACCGCCTTCAGTTGAGCTGAAGGCATATGAGAGCAGCAGGGAAAAGAATATGCCAAAGAGAGCTGGGACAAGAACCCAGCCCTGTTCCACACCTTTATAGCCAAGGTTTTAGAGGATGAGCTGACCTACTGGATGGTGCCACACATGTTCTTGTGGAAGGACACAATAATATTGTGAAGTTTAGCTGGGCATCCTGTCTTGTTGAGAAGTGAAGGTCCTTTATGGCTGATGAGGTCAAAGTACTTCATCAGGTCTATGAAGGCGATGTAAAAGGGACAGCTCTGCTGTTGGCATTTCTCCTGCAGCTGATGCAGCAAGAAAATCATGTAGACTGTTGACCTCTGAGATCTAAAGCTGCACTGTGACTCAGGATAGATCCTGTCAGTGAGCAACTGTAATCTCTTGAAAAATACATGGGCAAAGGCTTTACCCACAGTACTCAGCAGGGAGATTCCACAGTAGTTGTTACAATCATGGCAGTTACCTTTGTTCTTGCAGAGGGTCACAATGCTGGAGTTGTGCATGTCTTGTGGCAGAGATCCTTCTTCCCAACACAACAAGAGTAGGCTATGGAGGCATGTCATGAGAAAGGAATTGAAGCCAGCTTTCATGTTTTCAGGGGTGCAGTTTTTCTGACTGTTGGTCCAAAGGCTTTCTTCATGCCTTTGTACATTTTGTGAGTATTGCCAGCATCAGCAGCGAGTTGAGTGTTCTCACACAGCTTTAGCTAGTAGTCATTGGCACATCATCTGACAACCCACTGGGCATCACTCCTTGCCTTTCTCAGTGTAGCAAATTTATTTTTGCAGGGTGCATGCTTGTAGTTCACAAGAGCCTTGCGCTTTGCATCAATGTTCTTTTTCCAGCCTCAAACCACTCAGGGATCTGCTGGTCTTTTTGGCCAAAGGCGGACATAGCTGTGTTGTAGATTCCCTCTTTTTTGAGGTTGAACCTTACATTGACGCTATATCTGAGGCAGCTCAGTAGGGCTTGTTTGGCAGAATCAGAGGAGCATTAACAGAGTTCATGTATGGCAGTTGTCACAGTGTTGATTCAAGTCTGTACTTTCTGCTATTTGCTATGCATCCTCTCTGACTGGAGATGGCTCTTTCTTGCCACCAGGGAGTGATGTGTGTTGCAGATGGCGCTGTGGTAGGTCCATGTGACACAAATACAGTTAAGTGCTGATTGCCTGGTGACAATCAAGTCCAGCTAGTGCCAGTGGTCTGACCTTGGATGTCTCCAGGACACTGGGAGTTTTGTCATAGAAAACAACATGTTCATGATGCAAGCACAGCTCAAGCAGTCTTAGTTCATTCTAGGTATTCATGAATATAGTTTTTGCCTATAAGGACATCTGGCAGCTAAGCTTGTGTTTTCTTTGCTGCTCTGTAGAAATACTTTTGCGTGACCAGGCGGTGACAGCCCCAGCCCCCAGGGATCATAAGGAAGGAATAAAGACTCTGACAACGTATATGGAATTAAAATTAGGCCACAACTTTATTAAACTTCCGAATGTAGGAAGCTGTTTCTCCTCAACATCAGCACTTGCAAAATGTAGCTTCAAAGTGACATTAATCTATCTACTGGTATTTATCAATGACATCACAACAGCACACTCGTGCTTCCTGAAAATCTTGACTGTTCTATTGAAATCAAACCCAACTGCATGTTTCACCACACTTTATCTTGCATAAATAAAATGTTGCTTTATGACAGTCATTATGCCTAAGCAATAAATCTGATTGTGCTTATCTTGCCATACAAGATCTGGCATGGACATTCTAGATGGATGATGTTCTCATTGGAATGCTACAAAACAGCAATGGAGTGAAGGAGGAGCAAACACTTTAAGGGGGTGTTGTACTGAGAATACAGGCTGGCATCTCAAAGGGAAAAAAGTGCATTATGTGCTATTAATAAGTAGAAAGTTTCCAGGTGATTTGTATATCTTTCTTATGATTGAAATATCAAGAATTCACCAAATATCTGTTCTACTTATTCTAAGAGTTCTGGAAGTTGGCCATTTTAGATCAGTGCTAGAGAGTGCTGGTAATATCTTTCTCTCTGATTACAAATTAGACTTACAATGGAGCTCTTTCTCCATGCCCCCTTCCCATTCTGGTGTTTGCTTCATCCCTTCCCAACTTTATGGTAAGCTTAGAGATATTACTTTCATTTTCAGCAGACAGTTACTTCCACTTTATTTTTTAAAAGTCTGGTCTGTCAAGGTGCCACGAAACAGTTCAAGGGCCCTTCCTTGTACTTGTGCAGATTCCAATTTGCTTCTGATAAAATATCTGCAAAGTATCTTGCTTTGGCTCAGGATGCGGAATTCATCCAAATCCAAATTGTACCTCTAGTATAGTTATTAGTGGGGGGGTAAACTGTATTATCTGATTATTGTAGGAGTGGAACAGGTCTACTCTTGACTCTCCCGTTTATCTTGAGACTGTATAGGATTGTGAGGAAACATGCATTGCTGACTCTTCCGCTTTGTTTTTCAGTCCTACTGGGTAAAACTGGTTTTCTTCCCATCCTTTTAGATGCAATGTTCTCACTAATCTTTTTATTTAGTAGTGCATGAATTTGTTGATCTTAAAGGTGCCATAGGATTCTGTTGATGTTTTGGCTACAACAGCACACTTTACCCTTCAGGAATTAATATATTCAGGGAATATGTTGCACAAAACTACTTAACAGGGTACCTTATTTTTCCTTAGGGAGTGTATTTTCATACTCTGGGTTTAGTACTAAAGCACCAGACATACCACATGAGAAGTGCTTGGGTGTATCTCTGTATGATGGATGGGTGTATCCTTAATAGTGTGTCAACAGGATAGGCAGAAATAGTGAAGAATGATCAGTGCAGCAATTTTGAGTCAAAGGAGAAAATATATGCTATAAAACATACACTTTTAAAAAGAGTTTTCAAATAACTAGCAATATTCAGGAATGGAATTGCAAATCTTTCCCTCCTAATGTGCATAACATGCCGGATGAGGTCCTCAGCTGCAGTAAATGGGCATGAAGGTATGGCCATTTACACCAGCTGCCCATAATAAAATTGCACTGTCAAAGAATTTAGCATCATAGAATTATTCCACCAGAATGATAAAACAAACCATCATAGATACCACTTCCTCTCCAGTTAGAATCTGCACTGGCTTCATTGAAAATTCTCTCTTTATATTAGTGATAGAGAACCGTATTGTTAAATACAGTCTCATGGCAGCTAACATGAAGGAGCCTTCATTCCTTGGATGACAACAAACTGGAAACTCCCACATACTTCAACGATTTCACCAAGTTCTTTACTAATATTTTCAAAAGGGTGCGGCTGTGAGAAATGTTCACAGCATTATGGTTTCAGCTATTAGTAGCTGCTGGTGGTTATCCAAAACATTTCACATGCATTAAGATAAAATTAACACCCGCAGCTCTTCCAGCCAACACCCAACTAACTACAATAAATGAAGTCTAGCCACTAATTCCTTCCATACATAATGTTAATATCTTTGCTGTAGAACCTTTACATTTTAATAAGCCTAATGTGACTCTGATCCAAGCTTCTTCTGGCAAATCCTGCAGACTACAACTGTAAAGTAATTACAGCTGATTATTTAACAGGACAAATAATATTTAATATTTGTTGAGTTTCAACAGGATGCTAGGCACTTTAAAGAACACAGATGTCAAACCAGAGCCTTTACAATGTATATTAGGTGGAGAAGAGGAACATAAGAGGCTGGCTTATAGTGGATCAAATTATTTGTCAATTTAGCCTAGTATAATATACTCTGACTGGCAGGAGTTTTCCAGGAATGCCAGCAAAGGTTTCCCTGAACCTTTTAAATTAGGCTCCAGGAGGGAACATAGAATCTTCTGTATGCAAAGCACACACAATACTGGTAAGCTATGGTCACTCTCAGCAGCAGTCAGGGGTTGACAATAAGGATGGGATAGAAGGAAAACAAACGGTAGTGGATGATAGTTAAGTGTTGCCAGTGAGGAAATAGCCCTTTTCTCTCTTTTATTGAAAAGAAATTTACAAGACATGAGCATGGCTGGAACAATTCAGATGAGGAGCCAACATCAATCACAAGGAGCAGTATTGTAAAAAGGGTTATAAGGCACCCTGATTCCCACTTAGGACAGTTTTAACTATGCCCCAACATCTTGTCCCTAAGAAGCTCCATTGTGACTAGGGAATGTGAACTAAGTGATGTCTTAGAGAACCAGGACAAAGACCAACCTTTAACTTCAGGAGTGGTTCTTGCCAATTATGCAAAGAAGCTTGATAACCCCAGAATATGCAGATGCCTGGTTTCTAGTTCAGTCAAATTGCCCAAGTTGTGCCCACTATTCCGACATTTCAAAGGCCCAAATTGAGGACACTGCATACCTGAAACACTGATATCCCCAGCAGCAAACATATTTATAAGTACTTAGCCACTAGCAGCTATCAAGGTTAGGAACTTCCACCCAATAAACTGCATTTAGTTTTTACTCTAAGCTCCAGTATTTTCTTTGACTTCTAACTCCCCCTCATGTAATCTGCCTCCTGGTGCACAGGGACCCTTAGCTAAAGACTCAGACATGTCAGTTGCATACACATGTACATTTGTGTGCAAGTGTAGATGGGAATGCACAGTAAAAGCAGTATCTATTCTAGCTTCCTTAAGAACTAACAAAACATTCAAAACTCAAAATCCATCAGGATGAGAGAGTTTGGATTTGGTGAACCTTGGCCTTTTCCATCTCAGTCGGTGCTCAGAAATTGTAAATTCTTCACCCTGGCTGAACCAGTGGAATTCAAGGTAATGCCAGTCCCTCCCAAAGGGGTGTTTTAAAGGTGTGGCAGGGTCATGCTGGTGCTGGGACAGAGCAAGGAGAGACTTACACATATTCCAAACCCTTTCAGCTCTATCATGTGACCTACTGACCTGACAGAACTAAGCTGGCAAAAAGGTGGTGTAAGGAAAATTCTTCTTATTACAAGCTGGACCTATAAGTCATGAAAGAGCTGCCCCTCCACTTCACGATTCTTGTGTTTTACTTAAGCTAGATACATAAGATTCAATTTTGCAAGGCTGTTCTCTCTCCCTGCTGGCATTTTCCTTAAATGGAAAATATATATTTTACCCTTAGATGGAGTGAGTGGGAGTGGGGCACCACAAATACAAAACTGGATAATTTTCATATCATCTTAGCATAATACTATGAGTCATGTCACATATTCTGCTATCAGTCATCAAATGTACAAAATTCAAGTGGAGGAAAATGAAGTGATATAAGTGCAATACAGTCAGGTTGTGTATCCACAGTAGTGACCAGAGGAGGAATGACCACTGGGAAGAGCGCAGAGAGACGAAATGTCATGATGCACCCAATATAGCAAAACCAGATGCCTTCATCTGCTCCACCTGCAATAAAACATGTCTCTCCTATATCAGTCTCTACAGCCACAGCAGGTGCTGTAACTCTCCAACGGTTTGACTTTACCCCCCAAGGCACATTCTTCCATTGTCTCCAGAAATAGATGGATTCTAACAACAACAAAAACCACCAGTGTGTTGTTGTAGCTGTCTTCAGCAACAGAAAGGTCATTCGAAAAGAGGACCTGATGATACAAAGTAGTTATATACTTCCTTTTTTGGTAAATAGAATGAAAATTGAGCAAATTTGTTTAGTAAACTTACCTAATTATTTATAGTTCCTTAGCAACAAAGCTTTCTTTCTTTTTTGAACGTCCATTTCAAATTGTCAAATGTAGTTTAATCCATTTTACTCTATTATTATTTTTAAATAGCATTACACCCTAGCATTGTACCTTCCTTATGATATATTACTGTGCTATAAACTGAGCTCATGACTCTTCCTCACCCATGCCCCTGTTTTCCAATAATTCAGTCACTTTCTCTAAACATTATCCATCCCCTCCCCTGATGATTTGTTAACTTAGTTTACCAAAATGAAATTCGTAATCAAAGAGACTTCTGAAATAGCAAGAACTCCATCTGTTCTAATGGAGTGTGTGTAATAAAAATGTATGGCGCTGAACACCTCTACCATTTTTTTAAAAGGTCATTTTTAAAAATATTGCAGTAAACATTAGACCAATTAACACTGGTACTGAAATAGTTTCAGGCCTTATGTTCTTGCACTTGCAGATTTATGAGGAGATATGCTGTTGTTTATAAATTGCATGTATACTTAATTGTATAGAATTCTGCTTCCTCATCAAGTTATGTAAGAATACTCAGGCATCGTTCAGCCTTTATATTTTTAATTTAGGCCATGAGAGGTCTCATTTTGTAACACGTTATTACTTATTTCTCTCAATAGAATTATCTTGTTTAACTGGAAACAAAACAATCTTTCCATTTTGCAGAACTTCAATGAGACTTTTTAAATGTTGCAACAGGCATTGTCTATATGATGATCACTTCCAAGTATCCAGTAATGGAATAGTTAACAGACAACATTAAACATGGCACCACCTAATCATGGGAAGAATAATGTAATTTACTGAGTGGAATTTGTAACTGGACTGTCTAAAGAAATGCACACATTGAACTTTGTTATACTAAGCAAAGCCAAAATGGGGGGGGGGGGAGTGATTTATTTATTTTGTTTGCAAAACAAAGATGACGTAGTGAAGGATGCTATCAGAACCCCACTCATGCTATGTTGCCATTGCTGCCTGTGGCCGATGGAGTACATTCCACAAGCACTTTTCTTTTGCTACAGTCAACAGTGGGAGAGAACACACTGGCCCCAGAGAATGGTCTGAAGGTGTAAAATGCAGCAGCTTAGCTAAAGTTCAGCAGGTCTGGGTCTGGTCAGTTCCTGGCACAGGTGGGCTCATCAACTCAGTGTATAGCATGAATTTTAATCCCCCTTTAAGCCATTGAAGCTAGTAACCATCACCACATCTTATAGCAGCATATTCTATAAATTAACTATGTGCTGTATGAAGGAGGATACCTCTTCTTGTCTGTGCTGAATCTGCTGCTAACCAGTTGCATGTGATGACCCCCAGATTCCAGCCTTGGGCATCCATGGGATGAATCTGTTGTTGGAAATAACAGTTGATAAATAGTCCTTGCTAGTAGACAAGGGCTCTGAAAGTGCTTGGATTGAATGTTTGCTCAAGCATGACACTGTTCAGGGTGCAGAGGCTAAAAATGCAACAGAACTCTCTTCATAGATGCAAAGTTTTTCTTATCAGTGCCATTATTCAAATGTGATATAAATATGTTTTGTTTGTTTTTAAAAAATCTTGTTACAAATGTCATCATTCACACTTCATTAAGAGGTAAGTCTATGAATTTTACTGCTCTCTCAAGCCACTCCCCCCCAACGCAATGCTAACTTTAAACTATTATTGAGCAAAAATGAGAGTCTCATCTGAATTCCATTCTTTGATAACCCAAAATAACAGATGGTCTGTTCTCCTAACCCAGTTATTATTTATCAAGATCTCTTGGGCTTTTTAGAAACCTTGCACAATATTCTGAGAATAAAGAATATTTTTCTCAGTCAACTCCTTATGCTATAAAGTGTGGAAATATGTGTACACTAACAACAGATTATGGATTAGCATGACCAGAACACAAAACAATAGTGCAAATTGACACACACAGATCCGCAACAGATATATCTGATCATAGCTTTGATCATTTTAAAATAATTTCCTGGCTGCATTACGAACCTTCTCAGCAACACACCTGAAATAATGAAAGCATTGTAATTGTCAAAGCTGAACATCTTTCCCTGTGCTGCTCATGTAGTGAAACAAATTATGTGGGCCATATTATATTAGGTTTGCACTTTGACTTGGTTATTATTACAGAATTGAATTTTGTGCTAGGTACTGTACAAGGAAAATAAACAAAAGCTATAATGAGACCCTGCCAATGGCTGACAATGTAACAAGCTGTGTTTTGTTTAAAATTGACAGCATTGTCTTCTGCTTCATCCACTTAATTGAACCTGAAAATATGACCTACTGACTAACAAGGAGTAACTTCCATACGGACAGATGTTTTTCTTCTGCTTGGTAGATTAGCAATTTATGTGTTAAGCTTAGTATCCCTTTGAGAACGTCACTGAGAACTTTTGTCATTGCTTAATTTTTTAGCGTATTTGTTTAATGAAGTTTGACGCTGAATAGTTCAGTTGCTTTGCAATAGATTTTTAGATGGGCCATTAAGAAGAATTAAGGAAGTGATTTAGGCAAGTTGCAACATTCCAGCCAGCTAGGCAATTTGAATGCTATTGTCAGTTTATGCTATGTCATTTGACTGTGAGTTTACTGCAACACCTAAATGCTATTCATCTCCTGCTGGCAACACTGAAGATGAAAATAGTTGCTCAGAATTAAAAGCTAGCATGGTTTGAAACCAAAAGATAGCTGATACATTAAAATAATAGCAATCAAAAGTTGTGCATGGAAACAAATATGTGTTTGTGCTGTATGCGTATGGATGGATTATGTTAAAAACTTAGCATGCCATCTATCTTCTACCAAGTGCACAGATCACAGAGGAGTATTCACTGGAGGGAATGGGACCAAGTTCAGGGACTATAGGCTCATCACTCTCTCTGTGGGTCTCATACTCCACAGGCTGCTGTACTATCCATCAGATATATGCGCAGCCTACCCTACGATCAGGAGCTGTGACTAGGCTACTGCTGGTGGTTCCCCTATTGACCTAGACCCATTTCCACGCATGATTCAGTATATCTGAAGGAGCATCTCTACCCCCATCATTCTACCCGGACACTGAGGTCCAGCACCGAGGGCCTTCTGGCGGTTCCCTCACTGCGAGAAGCCAAGTTACAGGGAACCAGGCAGAGGGCCTTCTCGGTAGCGGCGCCCTCCCTGTGGAACACCCTCCCATCAGATGTCAAAGAGAACAACAACTACCAGACTTTTAGAAAACATCTGAAGGCAGCCCTGTTTAGGGAAGCTTTTAATGTTGTATTATAGTATTTTAATATTTTTTGGGAAGCCGCCCAGAGTGGCTGGGGAAGCCCAGCCAGATGGGCGGTGTATAAATAATAAATTATTATTATTATTATTATTATTATTATTATTATTATTCATGACATGCAACAGATGCTACCCTGCTGCCTATAGAACAACTGTCCAAGCCAAAGGAGCCCTGGTGGGGTGTGAAGTTTACAACCCCATGCATGTAACATTTTCAGGAGCTACTCCATCTCAAAATGCTGATCATGGTTACATGGAGTTGTAGATAGAGATGCTCCCCCCTCCCCCCGCAATTTAATTTGGCTTCAGTTTCCCTGAGGGCAAGACTGTTGGGGGGAAGGAATGATGAGGAAGTGGCAATGAGTACTTTTGTGATGCTCCCTGGCATGTTAGAGTCATTGCAATGGAATCCGTGATTAGGACCGTGTGCAGAGTAGAAATGAATGTTCTCCACCACAAAGCTTTACTGTGTTAAATCTGTACAAATAAACATTACAAGATGTAGCCCCATCTTCGTTTTTATTCCTTAATGCAGTTCAATATACCATATTTTTCGCCCTATAGGACGCACTTTTTCCCCTCCAAAAATGAAGGGGAAATGTGTGTGCATCCTATGGGGCGAATGCAGGCTTTCGCTGAAGCCTGGAGAGCGAGAGGGGTCGGTGCGCACCGACCCCTCTCGCTCTCCAGGCTTCAGGAAGCTATCCGCAAGCCTTGGGAGCTCTGCGGGAGTTCCCATCGGGCTCCCAAGGCTTGCGGATAGCAGCCTCCAAACCTGACCTGGCTTGGAGGCTGGCGGTGGGGAAAGCAGCGCTTCTCCCCACCGCCAGCCCCACAAGCTCGGGGGACAGCGGGGAGGCGGAGCGCGCCTTCCCGCTGTTCCCTGACCTGGTTTGGAGGCTGGCGGTGGGGAATGCAGCGCTTCTCCCCACCGCTAGCCCCACAAGCTTGGGGGACAGCGGGGAGGCGGAGCGCGCCTTCCCGCTGTTCCCTGACCTGGTTTGGAGGCTGGCGGTGGGAGCTGCCTGCATCCCGAAGCCTGGGGCGCACTGAGCCACGCGCCCTGGGCTTCGGGAAGATATCCGCAAGCCCGGGGAGACCGGCGCGACTTCACACCGGGCTCCCTAGGCTTGCGGATAGCAGCCTGTTCTGGGGGTTGGGGTCGGGGGAAGCTCGGGCTTCCTCTGCCCCAGCCCTGCGCCTGGGGGGGAAATAATTTTTTTCTTCTTTATTCCCCCCCCCAAAAAAAACTAGGTGCGTCCTATGGGCCAGTGCGCCCTATGGAGAGAAAAATACGGTACTTTCCTTTCTCTGGTCCCAAAGAGAGATCCTAAGCAACTCGCTTGTATCATCATCATGCTTACTTGCTACTACTACTGTTGCTGCTGGCTCCATCCATGGCAAAGAGACTGAATTCTCAGGTTTCACCTTCCTGCTGTGAGAGATCTGTAGCTTGGGTTTCTGGTGACGAGTCATCAATTAGTCTAAAGACTGAAATGGAAAAATGCCCAACCTTTCCTTGCCGCTTTTGCCAGAATGAAACCTCCTTCCTAATGAGAACTTTTCTTCATAGCATTTTAAATGCAATGCACTCAAACCATATCATTTTATGGATATTATATCTTTATATACTTTTATATCTTTAACATGTTTATTAGGCCAAATAGCAGGAATGATTGATCACAAGAGTTGCCAAGAAAAAGGTGGTCCAAAAGGGTTGGTTAGCCCATGAAGGAACCAGGCTATTTGTCCATGTGGTGCTCCTCTTGATTGGCTCAGCCCAGAACCATGTCTAGTGGGCATTTATACCCTTGATTTAAAGCTGGGACCCTGTGCATATAAAGCTAGGCTTTGTGCTACAGACATCTATGACTGGGTCTTGGGATAGGAAGTCCCCATTATATTCCCTAATGTGCCTGACTCATGTCTACTGCTGGGATGGTTAGAGAACTGCTCTGTGAGTTCCAGGATTTCCATCTTATTTTGCCACTGAGAATGACTGGCTGCTTTTCAAGGCATGCAAAAAGTGTGAGAGAGGCATATGGCCCTCACTTTCCCCTACTGCAGTTTGAACTTCCATTTTGTGCTTCCTTTCTAGCATTCCCATGTTCTCAGAAGTTTATGGAATACCAAATTAATGGAGGTTAATAAAAAATAATCCCCTAATGCCATTGTCAAGCCTTCACAGCCTTGAAGATGAAGAATTAATTGAAGGTTTGTTTGCTAAAGATAAAAATAAACCTCACAAAAAACACAGTTTCATTTTTCTACCCATGAATAATTTATTGTAAAGGGAATGAACTGTTTGAGGCACAATTGAGCTCAAATTCAGAATTTTTACATCTCATTGAATTTAATGGGGGAAGATTAGGCATATGCATACATTTCTCACATTGTAGTGAGTTGAATGGACCTTAAAAGTGCTTAACCTGGCTAGATCATTACTCAACACTAAAATCCTATACATGTTTCATTGGTACCAAGTCTTAATGTGTAAGATAATATTGTTATGCCTTTAGTCCTCTCTTCCTATTGAATGGACATTTATTTACAGGGTTAACAGCACCAATCCTAAGTACAGTACATAAACAATAGTGCTGCTGGATCATATTAGAGAGTTTTGTAGGCCAAATTCCTGATTCCCTAGTAGCCAACCAGATGACATGTCAGATGTTCATAAGCAGGGCATGAGGATAGCATCTCTCTCTTGCTGCTGTTCTCCAGTAACTGATATTCAGTGGAATGGTACCTTTAATGGGATGTCAGGTGTATTAGGGGAGGGGTAGTACCTCTGAGGGGACACGTCATGCTCCTTCTGGGATAGTCTGTCCACCTTTGGTCCTCCACCCTGCACTCAGCTCTCACTTGTAACTCCTAGATCTAAGCATAGGACAGTGGCTTTGATTGGGTGGCTAAATTAGGTGAGGGTCACGGGTGAGTATATTAGGTGAGGGTAAACCAGTGAGTTAGGGACTCCCCCTGCATGCGAAGACAGGCAAATTAAGCGGACAAGACCAATACTGGGTCCAATAGTCAAGAAGGCAGTTTCTGCATGTGCTCTAGAGGGAAGTGAGGAGCAGGTAGGGCTTGTAAACCTGGAAAGCTAGCTCATCTAGGAGAAGGAAAATTTTGACCCTAAACTTCCACTGCCCTGTGGGATATCTTTGGGAGAAGAAAGGGCTAAGGAGTAAATCCTACAAAAAATCCAGAGTGGAGTCCCTAAGATGGTTGGATGGCGCCTTGTATGTCTCCTTTCGGTAATTCCTGCAGCCCAGCTGGTGTCTAATGTATTGCACTGCTTTCATTTAGTCTACATCAGTTAAGCCAAGAGAAATGTCTTGTTATCTGGTCAGCCCAGGACCTCCATACACACTGCCCAGGTTTGCGTCCTGGGGATGTCATTTTGGTGCTGCCAACACAGCAGTTTGACTTCATCCCTAGAGGGGCACTCCATTGTCTCTTGAGATGGACAGATGCCAACAAAAACAAAAATGTGCCTCTGATCCAGGAGGTAGTATACAGCAGTTAAGACTAGTAGCCACTGGTAGCATTCTTGTCCATGAACTTGCCTGATTTTCCTTCAATTTTGGGACTGTCACCACATAGTGAGGAAGTGAACTCTACAGTTTAAATATGCACTAAGTGAAGAAGGACTACATTTTATGTGTGCTAAATCTTCTACCATTCAGCTTTATTGACTGACCGTGGGTTCCAGGAGAGAGGGAGAGAGAGGGAGGGAGGGAGGGAGGGAGTAGATACTGTGGTGCAAGTCCTCCTTTGCAGCTCAGCCAGAGCCAACCAAGATGAGGCTGGTATATGTCCTGCAGAAAGGGTTTCTGGAGTCGGAAGAGAGGGGAACCTATCCCTTTTCCAAACTCTATTCTGCTCAGTCACACACGACCCACTGGACATTACACTAGCAAAAAGGCTGGTGCAAATCAAACTCTATTTTAAATGCTTCTTCTTTCTCTGCTAGGCTTGGGCTTGCTTATGTGGTAGTAACCCCCCTCCTGAACCGAGTTTGGAATAGTGGTAAATTACATTGCCATAATTTACTCCAGCTGTATTCCTATAGTTTGGATTACTAAACTGTGGATCTAACATGTGGAAATACTATGATATGGGATGTGCTGCATTTGTTTTTCCCCCTTGCAGATTTTCTGAACTTGTCCAGAGCAACAGTCACATTATTATTTTTTCAGAATCATTTGAAACACCCTTATTGAAAATTCACTATTGTTGGTCATTATAAAGGCAGATGAAGAAAAAATAATGTTTTGGGTAATTTTTATACTGACTTAAAAACGCTAAAAGATTACTAAAAGGTAATTGTTTCCTTTGTTTTTTTTTTCTTAACACAAACATGTTCCAGTGCTAAGCATGGTGTTACTTTTATTTAAATCTCTGAAACATCACTGGCAATCTGGATCAGATTTTCTTACCCATCTCTGCCAGATTTGCATTATGAAAACAGTGTTACTGCCCTAGGGCAGAGCCTTTTGCATGTTGTGTTTCCAGCTGATCACGGATTGTGATGGTGGATATTTGTTGCTTTAATTGCAGTTTCCAGTTCTCCAACTGAGACCAGGTTTCTACCACAAACATGATCATGCCTGGAGCTTTGGAAAGGGAAAAAATGTAGGGAAAAAGGGGAGAAGATACAAATGAATGGCAGCTCGGATTCAGTGAGCACATCTTTCTGGAGAGGATATGCATATTACAGTCTCTGAATCATCTGAGCAAGGACAGAAAAAAACTCAGCAAGAATATCAAGTAGAGTTTAGAAATATTCAAGGCAGTCAGGTATTCAGTTTTCTTTATGGAGGAAATTGCTGGATATTTATGTAATGTTTGTCACTATCTGCTCATTAAAAAATATGTGTACATGTCAAGTAAGTATTAAGAAGGTACAAAAGCAAACATTAGCAGTGCCAGTTCCAAACAAGAGAAAGGGGTGTTTCCTCTCCATCTCACTGTAGCACAACCAAATGCAACTGAATGTAAAGCTGTTTTAATGAGGCATTTGATGCAAACTTAGGTATAGTCATCCTAGTTATAAAAATACACATTTGTTGTAGTAGCTGTAGTAGTAATATCTTCTAGTTTGCATGGTGAGCTGCTGCCCACAAATGGCACAGTCTGTGACCTGATCTATACATGCAGCAGAATGAACTCTTAGAGGTAGTATGCTGGGATGTATCACACCGAATTGCAGGTGGGGGAAGCACAGTTTTAAATCCTATAATCATTAAATTGTAGAGTTGGAAGGGACCCCAGGCATCATCTAGTCCAGAGGTCAGCCAACTTTTTCAACAGGGGGCCGGTACACTGTCCCTCAGAACTTGTGGGGGGCCTGACTATATATATATATATTTTGGGGGGTGAACAAATTCCAATGCCCCACAAATAACCCAGAGATGCATTTTAAATAAAAGCACACATTCTACTAATGTAAAAACAAGCTGATTCCCGGACCATCCATGGGCCAGATTTAGAAAGCGATTGGGTTGGATCTGGCCCCTGGGCCTTAGTTTGCCTACCCATGATCTAGTCTAACCCCTGCAATGCAGGAACACATCTCAACATACATACAATTTCAACCTCCCCCATACAATTTCAAACCATACCAGACCTTGCTTTGCTTTACAAAGCTGCTAGCAGGTTTTATTGCTGCACCACTAGGAGGTAATGACCCTGTGGTGAGGGGAGTGCATTTTAGCACTATTTTAATGTAAAATTATTATGTGTTTAGAGTTATGAATTATAACAAGTTTTGGATTGTGAATAGATACCCCAGCATGAAATGAAACATGAAGAAAAACTGTATTGGGATAGATTAGGCCTCAGACCCCTGTGAAGGTCACAGCATAAGGGGTCTCGGCTGCTAGCAGAAACCGTGGTAACAGTTACTGTAGAAGGCAGCACCTCTGGAAGTCAACAGCACTAAAAATGAATGACGCTGGTATTTACTGAGCAGAGCATTAATAGGGACTAATCTAATTGGTGTTCTGAGCATCATTCTACAATGCCTATTGGTCTTTGGGTAAAGACCAATAGAAGAAAGTTCCAGAGCAGGGGAAGGGAACCTTTTTCAGATTGACAGCTGGATTATGATTTGGGGAACCATCTGGGGGCAATATCCCACAGTGGTGGGTGGGGTGGGTGAAGCAACTAATGCAAATATTACTTTTGCATACCGTAGGCTCATTTCTACACCAACCCTCTTTATCCTCCACTGAAGAAAGCAACTTCATTGGAGTTTAATGACACATTCTAGCCTGACCAAAAATATGACAGGAGGATATGAAAGAAGGCTAGTGAGGGGATGGCATGGGGAAAGTGGTTGTGGCCAGGTAGAAAGGGGTTGGAGAACGACATTTGGTCCCCGGGAATCAGATTCCCCACCTTCAACCAACAGATACACACACAATAACTTGTGCTCAGGGTGAGGAAACAAAAGAAACAAAAGAAAACCCCACAAGTCAAACTATTGTCCTTCTTTTCCCCACCTGTTTCTGCTTCTTCCTAGTTATGTTTTAACTGTCTCTTACATAGAGAGTAACATCTTTGTGACAATGAATTAGCCCAGAAAGAGAAATCTTCATCTACAACTATTCAGAACCAAAACGGAGCTACACAAAAGTACTTTTTTTTTTGCAAACCTTCACAGAAAATATTGCTAAGATGTCCTTTTCTTTGTGACATTTGACAAAGAGTGCAAAGTTAATTACTACCAAATACAGTAAATCAAACAGGAATGTTTGAAATAACCATCTGCTGATTTCACCTGAAGCAAAATATACACTATGGAATAAAACAAACAGATTGTGGCCTACAGATTACCCCGCCCCCATGAACAGCAAAGAGCATTAAGTTAATACAGAAACAATTAAAGAAAGGAAGATTTTCAAATGTGTAGCTTATGCAAGACTAATAATAAGAGAAGTGATGTGCTTTGTGAAATTCAGCATGGTGTCAATGACATTTAGGAAGAAACATAAGTCTTTTGATTTTGGTTGTATTGCATTTGTACACAGGCCTGTAGCTAAGTTTAAAAGATCAACATTGCTCTTCCCCACACCCCCAAATGGATGTTTCAGGTTTATCGCTTCAGTTATTTGGATTGGATTTGTTTAGACAAGCATAAAGTGCACCTTTTATTACTTTAAACCTGTCCAAAAATGTCAGAGTTACCAACAAAGCAAATTTTGGGATGTTAATCCAGTTCCTTCATTTTAACATAAATCTTGTTGGGGGTGTGCTGCTCATGAGTAAAGGCTACACCCCGGTATCATTATACTTGTCTGTCTCCATGAGTTGGAGCAGGAAATATGAAGCAGGAAGCCTCCTCTATTTGTAGATGTTCCCTGCCTGGCATGATTTAGAACCCCCGATTTCCAGGGTTATAAATCACATAGGGAAACTCCATTAGTAGAGGAGGCTCCCCACTTCAGACCTTTGCCTCCAAGTCATAGAGGGTAAAGAGGATATCAACACTTTGGGATACTCATTGATCTGTCTCCATCACTTGACGTCCAAGTGGTCCCATTGGCAAGGCATGCCTATTTCCAGCACCAGCTGTTTCGCAAACTATAGAACTTCCTGGAGAAGGAATTGGCAACCATGATCCATGCCATGGTAACCTCTCAGTGGGACTTCCCTTGAAGATGGTTCAGAAGTTGTAACTATGTTAGCAGAAGAGCCACCATTTTGCATCCTTTATAATCAAGCATCATTCCAGATCACTGTGCGGGTGTATGTTGGGGTGGCGGTAAAAGGTAAGATAGTCAAGTCTATTTGGCAAAAAGTCTGGAAAAGGGAAATGTGAGAGATAAAAAACCTGGGTTTTTCTCAGAAAAATCAACTCTGCAGGAAAGTGCTGCAGGAAACGTATTTATAGTGGAACATCTACTCACGACCACAATCCGTTCCAGAAGCCCGTCCTTATGGCGAAATGGGTCACTGGGAGAGGCGCCGTTGTGCGCAGGCGCAGGCAATTGCTGCTCCTGCACGTGCGTGAACGGCGGCAAACCCACCGGTTACTTCCGGGTTTGCTGTGGTCACAACTTGGAACGTCCACAAGTGGAGGTGGTTGTAAGTAGAGGTTCTACTGTATTAATTTATATGCTGCTTACTTGCCAAAATTGCTAATAGGTGGTTTGCAAGTATAAAACCACTTTAAAATAAGGGCTGCACATAATTCAAATACACTATAAAACAGTTCCAACAAAACATTGGAATAAACACACATAATTAAAATGTGCAATAAACAAGGCCATTAAAGCAGCGGTTAAAAGAATAAAAACAAGAGATGAGGAGAATGCTCATCTAAACAGATGCAAGCAAAGAAAACGCTTCACAACACTAGTGCCACCAGTGAACAAGACTGCCTCCATGTTACCAGGTGGTAAACATAGGGCTGTGGCTCAACCTCCTACGTTTCATTTTTCTTTCTTACACACTTTTCATACTTGGTTGATTTCTACATATATATCAATTTTTTTCAGCCTATTACGGGGCGTATAAAGTTCACCATGTCCCCTGATGCTGTTAACCCTTGCTAGAAAAACTTACAAAAAGGAAATATTTACTTGGGTTGGCTATTATAATGGCCACTTAACCAAATTTAAGAAAGAATTTTATATTCAGAGCCATCTTTTAAATAGCTCTTTTATTTACCAGTTGAATTGAAGGCACTGGCAAATCTCACAGTTGCACCTAATTGTTCTTGACTGCACATAAAATTACTAAAGGCCCAGCTTGCTGCATGCCAGAACATGATCTGAGCTGCCACTGAACTGACAGATGCTATTCCAGGATGTTTGCAAAGAGTCCTACTAGATGCTTATCAAGTTAGTGAAGTAAGTCTGTGCCAACATCCTCATGTGATATGATAATTATGGGAAAGCAGAGATACTTGCAACATTTGAAAACAAGGGTCACACTAGATGGGATGCTAAATGCATCACTAGGTTGCATATCAGGGATTTAAAATAAATAATGGGTGTGGGGAAGTGATTTTCATCGAGACAGCAGCACAAGGAGAGGGGGATTCTTAGTGTGAATTCTGCCCATCCTAAGTTGAAGTATGAAAAAAGCTATTTCTCCTGTATATCATAGTGTATAAGGCTGCATTTGGAATTTTGAAATGGCAGCCAAAAAACCATTGTAATCCATGTAAGAAAAACCACCACATCAATAAAAAAACTGAGCTGTGATAACGAAAAGTGTGTGTGGGGGGGGAATAGGCTCAACATTTTTTGAAAGCAATCTGTGTTTTTAATAGGTTTATTTTAACCATTCCCCATCCCCCTGGCTCCTGTAAAATAGTTAAGTATGTCGAGAGATTCTGGATCTCTGCCAAGGTATTTGGCAGCCATTAGAATTTTAAATGATATATTTGATGTGCCTTGGCAGTTGAAAAGTTACAGTAATGGCTGTCTCAGATACAATAGGGCTTTAAAATAAAGATAATTGATTTGTTTTTTTATAAAAAATAAAAACAAGACTAAAAAAAACAAAACAACTTATTGAGTGCTCCAGATAGCCAATCATGTTACTCATACAACCTTGTGGATATGTACTCCATGACCTAATGATTCACTAAGCAACAGGGAATTTATACTGTTTACAAAGGAGCAGACACACTGTCTGCTGATTTGTACCGGCAAGGGGAGCAGAACAGAGAATTAAGGGACAATCTGGGAATTTATCTTTCTGGTGCCATACAGTGCATCCATACTCTACTAGACGAAGGCAAATTATGACATTAGCCCTTCACAAGTTACTCTTGCTTCGTCTCATTGATTCATGAAGGTTTTTTAATTTACCTTAAGTATTTAGAAATGAAAAATGCAATATTGGTTCAGCATAAAATAAAGTATGTGATGTAGGGTTTTCATTTTAAAAAGTCAGTGTAATATAATAATTCTTCAATTATGACAGAAGAGCTTAACACTAGGAGTTGCACTCAGGAGCAGATTTTGTTTAGATCTGGATTCATTGTATTGTAAAACAGACTGTCTCGATCTGAGATGCTTCATAGGTTGCCCAGTTCAACTCATCAGTCCAAGTCCATGTTGCTTTCCTCCTTCAATTTCACTGTTAATATTCTTTTTTATTAAAAAAAACTATATAACCCACCCTTTTGGCAGAAGTAGATTGATTTTTTTTAGGAACTGTAGCTGCCCCAGAATAGATAAAGCCTGCTGGATTGCAGGCAGCAGCCTCAGGGTTTTTTGTGTTTGATACATCTAAATTTTGATATGTAGTTTATAAAATTAATATTTACAATTTTTAAACTGTTTGAGAAATATTGGAAGAAATTTGTAGGCAAGTTTATTCTTTTTTTGGGGGGAAAGAATCCTGGCAAATTTCAGAAGAATAGCTGCAGTAGTTTTCCTGCAAGAAGACTGTCAACATTTGGGGATAGTTAAAAAAATAATAATTATCTTTCGTTGGTGTTGCATGACCAATTGATATGAAAACTGCAGACATGGCCGAGGTGTTATTGCCAGATTGCAGGTCCAGAGCATTTTGGGCTATGCACTCACAGTCATGGCCTGTCAATCATAGCACAGCTCTCCCACCATACTGCTTCCTCCTCCAAAGCACTGGGATTGGAGTGCACTGATAAAATAACCCCCTTTGATTGCAAAGGAGACCTGTCAGTCATGAAGGAGTTTCTCCTAACTCCTGACATTTTCCTAGGGATGGGATGTAAATTTTGATTTTACACAGCTACTCCATCTTCTCACATCCTGACATTAATTTTTTGAGGACACTTGATTTCATCTTTTCATTTAGTGTCTGGATTCCTGAGGAAGACACAGCACTTCAAGGGCTTTCTGCCTTGATTCATGCCTACCTTGTAGAATCCAAAAATTCCTTGAAGGCACCCAACCTCAGCATGTTATGGAGGATTTGTACAACTAGGAACACATGTGCACTTTATTAACTATGAGTTCAATTATAATACTTGAAATTGGAAGCCTAGGCATAGAGTCATAAAATTGTAGAGTTGGAAGGGACCTGATGGCCATCTAAATCCAACCCCCTGCAATGCAGGAATCTCAACAAGATCATACATTTACATCTGCCACTGGCTATTTTAAAGATGCAGGTACAGAATTGTACATGTGTGTAAACATAATATTTGATTTCTGTACTGAACATGATACAAATGGAGGATGGCATTGAAATAACTTTTACTTAGAGAAGACCCTCTGAAACTAATGAACCTAGGGAGACTTCCGGGTTAGCGCCTCCGGCAATGGCGGAATTCCTCTGATCGGGAAATCAGGGTCTGGCCGCCACGGCGAAGGCGGAGACCCACTAAAAACCACAGGCGGGAGAAGCCTGTGGACGTGGGATTTGGCTGGCACCTTTTGCGCCTCCCCTACTCGCGGGGAAATCCCCGGTTTCGGGGATTCCGGAGCGACGTGGGGTGAGCGGAGCGGTGCATCGAATCGACTGCTTCCTTCACGGAGTGAAGCCGCATTGCTGTTGCCGGAGAGCGCTGATTTTTTCCTGTGGACAATTGGACTTTAAACAACTACCCGTGAGTAGAACGGAAAATTGAATCTTTAAACATCTTAATTCGGCACCGAAACGGGAAGGTTTCAAACAGGAAGTCCGCCTTCCTCTTTTGTAAACAGATTGAGCAAAGACGCTGCAAGCTAAAGTCTTGGAGAGCCTTTTGTAAAGGACTAAATTTCCATCAGTCAAAATTATCAACCCCCCCCCTTGGAAGCAGGAGAAGAGGGGGGAATTTTAGATTGCCTAAGCCTGCAGGAGAGAGAGTGAAGAAAGACAAATTACCACCGTTTTGATCCTGGGAACGGGCTGTCACTAAGATTGACGTTTTGGGAAAGTTCATTGACTGTGAACAAAATGTACGTTGACAGATAGTTAAATAAGAGAAATATAATGTTTCCATTGTTTCCTTTTGCACTCAAAAAGGAGCAAAAGTAATTGAAAGATTGAAACTAACTTTGTTGCTGGATCTGCGTTTAAAAGGACGGATACAAATAGAAATTGTTTCCTCTAGAGGGAGCTTTTGAAACTGTTGCAGGAGTGGACCTGGGGAATTTTCCAGCTGCAGAGATAAAGGACCGTGAGAATTTGAGATTGACCTTGGACAAGAATGTCGACAGAAGAAGCCTTAGTGATTGCATTTTGTAAGATAAGTGCTTTATTGGAACAGCTTCATGAGAAGATGGGTGTGATGACTATTAAATTTGACAATTTGGGACAAAAAATGACTGATTTGGGACAAGAAGTGAATATCCATACAGAAACTACTCAGGAATCGATTCAGGAATCTACTTTGACATGGCAAGTTGTGGAGAAGATGAGGGAGAAAGTTGTTGTAGAACCTCAAGTAATACAAGTGCAGAGAACCCCAGTCTTACAGAGAAAATTTGATGAATATAAGCTGTTGCCTTCTACTATTGAATTTAGAGAAAGCCAGTTGAAACACGTCCTGAAATATCTTTTGGACTCTAGTTTTGACTATGGAGAATGGACTGACCTGACGAGAAGGAATAAAGACATTGTTAGGTTGGAGCTTCTCCGAGATCTACTCCTCAGTGTCAAAGGAAGGAAATTAAGAATAAGATCAGCAGAAGATAAAGTAAAGTGCATGTATAAATATGAAGAAGATCTGCAGAAGGGACATGGAAAAGAGTTAAGAGCCTCGGACAGAAGATCACCAGGTTGATGGACCATATGGAATTGATAGAAAGGACTGGCAGAATCCGAGACCAAGGAGAAGAGACGGTGGAAGAAGATTGGAAAAAAGTTTAAAATTTATTTATAGAAACATTGTTAAAATTAATGAGTGTTAGAAAAATGTTGGAATGAAATTACACGGCTTTAGTAGAAATGTTATAAGGAGTTAAGTACAAATAAGTTTCAGGGTATTAATGGTAAGATAAGGTTAAAATAAACTATGACAATTATATGACAGAAAATAGTGAAAGCTGGAAAGGATTTGCTGAAATAATTAATAATTAGAATACAAAAAAGGGAGGTGGGTCGATGAAACAAGTTAATGAAAAACAAAGATATGGAAATATTGGATGTGTTTTTAATTGTTTTTGCTTTTGCTTTTGTTTTGATGTATTGTGTTTTTTGTTTTTTGTTTTTTATGTATAGCAACGTATTGATTTGTATTGTTTTTATTTTTCTTTTCTTTTCTTTTTCTGTAATCTTTAAACTTTTAATAAATATTATTTTAAAAAAATGAAACTAATGAACCTAGGTTAGTCATGTCCATTAACTCTAATGGGTCTACCCTGAGTAGGACTAGTGTGGAATACCACCCTTCGTGTTTGATATCAGCCTAATTTTATGATTAAAGTTGGTATGATAACAAGTAACAATGAAGCTTGCGAAAACATTTGCTGTAGCCAATATGTTGATTTTTCTGTTGCCTTTTTCATATGCCCTAGTTTTGCTTGGGAGGAGACTAATGAGAAAATGGCCCTTTTTATATAAGCCAAGGAGCTGATTTCATATTTACATGCGTTAAAATCATATAGAAAAGAGAAAACCATTCAACAGATCAAGAGCAAAATTGAAAATGTCAAAAGTTGTGGAGCACAGAACAATAATTATCAAAGTACATCAGGTGTTATTAGAACTTTCATAGCTTCCTCATTGACAGCCAAGGTAATGAGAACAGAAAAAATACAAAATTAATTTATTTTATGACAAAAAATAGCAATGAAGTGAGATGATGGCAGACAGTTCATATTGTTAAAGTTGTCATTTCCTGTTGAAATTCTAGGGTAATTTAATAGCATAACTAAATAACTTGTTGGAACTCCACTTTTCAAACTGTGTGCTCAAGAACACAATCAGGCCCTGGTACTAAGGTTCACATTTTGTGGCTACAAAAAAGAGGTGGACATTCAGTCTGGAGTAAAATTCCACTGCTGTATCACCAGTGTAGACATAAAAAATACAGTGGTACCTCTGGTTACGAACTTAATTTGTTCTGGAGGTCCGTTCTTAACCTGAAACTGTTCTTAACCTGAGGCGTGCTTTCGCTAATGGGGCCTCTCGCTGCCACCGCGCCACCAACATCCTGGGGCAAAGTTCACAACTGGGACATCTACTTTCGGGTTAGGGGAGCTCGTTACCTGAAGCGTTTGTAAGGAGGATGGTACGTAACCCATGGTTCCACTGTATGGTGATAATTGAAAAGACACAAAAGCTCCAGGCCAGAAACACACCCTTCTAAATCCACCACTCTCCAGTAAAGAGGTGAAACCTGAGAAAGACATTTTGTGTTGAAGGAAGACAGAAAAGGCTTAATTTGGGCTCTAGACCTTGTCCAGGTAAATTGCTCAGTTGGAGCTCTCCAAATTCTGTAACTCTGGACTACATCTTTTTACTTTAATTATGATCAAAGTTTATTTATTTACCACATTTCCCACAATGATTCACCAAGAAAGAAAGAAAAAAAGCAAAACAGATGTAAGTACAAAATCTGGAATAAAAAATACAATATCACTACAGCACTAACAGGTCAACAAGTTTTTTAAAAAAATCATTTAAAATATATAAAAGAAAGGTGAGCATAAAGTTTGTCAATAGGTCCATTAATATCCCACCAACTAACTATAATAAGAACAGCTCCCCATGCCCACACTTTTATACCCAGACTCAAAATTCAAGGAAAAATCCTCACAGCTCATTTGCTTAGTTATGACTGTCTTGAGTGGATGCAGCCATTGCTGGATGTCAAATAGACTCTCTGACACCTTGGAGTTTTTCTGTCAATGAACAAGTCATTTACCCCAAATCAAAGAATACTGGAGGGCAGAGAACATAAGAAGAGCTTGCTGGATCAGGGCAATGGCTCATCTAGTTCAGCATCATGTTATCACAGTGGCTGACCAGATGCCTGTGGGAAACCATCAAACAGGTTTGGAGTACAAGAGCACTCACCTCTCCTTTGTTTTATAGCAGCAAAATAATACTGCCCATGGAGGCAGAGCACAGTCATCATGGCTAGTAGCCACTGATAGCCTTATCCTCTGTGCATTTGTATAATCCACTTCTAAAGAGTTGGTGGCCATCCACTGCCTCCTGCAGGAGTGAATAAAAGGTAAAGGTAAAGGGTAAAGGTAAAGGGACCCCTGACCATTAGGTCCAGACAACTCTGGGGCTCATCTCGCTTTATTGGCCGAGGGAGCCGGCGTACAGCTTCCGGGTCATGTGGCCAGCATGACTAAGCCGCTTCTGGTGAACCAGAGCAGCGCACGGAAACGCCGTTTACGTTCCCGCCGGAGCCATACTTATTTATCTACTTGCACTTTGACTGCTAGGTTGGCAGGAGCTGGGACCAAACAATGGGAGCTCACCCCATCGAAAGGATTCGAACCGCTGACCTTCCAATCGGCAAGTCCTAGGCTCTGTGGCTTAACCCATAGTGCCACCCGCGTCCCTTGCAGGAGTGATTACCATAGTTTAACTATGTGCTGCCTGAAGTAGTACTTTCTTTTATCTCTCTCTTGAATCTTCCAACCTTCAGCTTCATCAGATGTCCATGAGGTCTAGTGTTATGAGAGAAGGAAAACCACTTTTCTTCACCCACTTTCTTCAAGCCATGCATAATTGTATAAACGTCTATCGTTTCACCTTTTCTCTAAACTAAAAAGTTCACAACACTGCAACCTTTCTACATAGGGGAGTTGCTCCATCCCCTTGATCATTTTGGTTGCCCTTTTTCGTAACCTTTCCCAACTCTAAATATCCATTTTGTGGTGAGGTAACCAGAACTGTACCATTTTATTTTCAATGCCTTTCCTAATGATCCCTAACATAAATTTTGCCACTTTCATACCCGCTGCACACTGGGTTGACATCTCCACTAAGCTATCTACTATGACTCCAAAGTCTCATTCCTGGTTTGTCATCAACAGTTCAGAAGCCATGAATGTATATGTGAAATTAAGATTTTACACCCAAACATGCATTACTTTGCAGAAGTATCAATCTGTCTGTATTCTCCACCAAAGGAACTAGCCTGGCTCTCTGTGCTACTCCTCGGGCTAGTCTACTCATGCGTGAGCATTCTGCCTATGATAAAGCTCTGTACTTGGGCATATAGTTAGGCTGAGAGCAAGTCCTGTCCAAGCGCTTCCCCATGGTCTATGTTGTTGGCTACAGGTGCCTCCTGAGCCTTGGAAGACCCCTCTCTTCACAGTGGCCAATGAAGTCCAGGCTGACTGTTAACTGTCCATTCTTCACTGGCTAGAATCTCCAAACAGTTAGGGTCCATTTTTTACCAGACCAATCAGAATGCATTTTCCTGATCCAGGCCCTGCCTATAAATTGTAACGTGAGAGGCTTTCCCCTCTCTCTTTTAGAACCTGTGACCAATCAGCTAATGCTAAAAAGTCTGGCAGCACAGTAGCAACACAAGGCCTTGGACTCTGAAAGTTACACTCTGGCATCACCAAAAGTCACAGAAGTCCATTTCAAAGTATAAAACACAAACAGATATATACACAATATTTCCCTCACATGTTCAGGTTTCCTTCATCCTTTTCCCTCAGGAGACCTGCTCCAAAGTTCAAGAATGTAGGATTTAGTTCATATATAGCCAAGCTGATACTTAAGGTAGGGAAGTCTCTCACTGCTAGTAAACTCTCAGCTTTAAAACCCCACAGGAAGACCATAAAACATGCAGCCACATTAGTGAATGCTCCTGGATAACTGGTGCTAACATGTGAAGAGGTGGTTCAGTGCTAGGGAAGTTAGAACCCTTTGAATTGGGTAGTGTGGGTAGAAGACTATAGAGTTCAGTTTCATACTTGAAAAATTATCATCTAAATAAATACAAGAGAAGTTGTGGGAGTACACCAGAACTTTAATGAAAAACCATGTAGAGCTTCATCTTATCTATTAACTTTCCATTTTCCCTGTAGAAATTGTTTCTGTCAATATTTTATTATGACAGGGGATGAATGGGGAGGGGGGAGTGAAGTCTAATCTAAGCAGATGTTGCCATAAATGGCACACAGCAATTGAAACTACTGAAAGGAATCAAGAGATTTCTCCTCTTTTCCATGTTTATGCTAGAAGTAGTAAAATGATTCATTAGAGGGAGGGGGAGTAGGAAAATGAGATGCAAAGCAGTTGGAGAAATAAATAAAGCACTGAAAATATCTCTTGGACATTATTTGGGATTGAGATTACCACTGGAGCTTAAACAATCAATGCATTCATAGCTAACAGAAAACAATAGAAATTGGCATATTTATTATAGTCATGAATCGATGGGCTTATCTTCTGAGATATTACAAGGTTGATTCATTCTGACAGGAATGAAGGAATGTCTTTCAAGCTGTTTCTCCATTACTGATAGATCAAATGAGTTACACCATGTTTCTTGTCAATGAGGTGGATGAAAATACTAAGGGGTAACGGCTGCTGGTAAGGCTAGATTTAGCTTGGTAAGCAAAAAAATGCAACTCAGTAGCTATCACTCCTTTCTGATTAAAGATCCAAAGCTAAGCTTTGATGAAAACTTTTTCTTGGTTCTTTGTAATATAATTCTACATCCCCTTTATATATAGTTTTATAGTACTGAACTACACAGTATACTTTAAAAAAATCTATAGTTTATTAGAGTTTTCACATTACTACAATAAAACAGTATTTTTCCTTATTTCCCCACTCCCAGCTCTCCTCCCTCCCCTTATTTTATTTTTTAACAAACAACAACCTTAAAGCACACTTATTTCTGATGCCTCTGATATTGTTTGGATAAATTTCTATTTCTGTATGGTTGCTTGTGGCAAATTGCATCTCCAGCAATCAACCGTGGCTATGATGCCCATGAATTTAAGGCACATTCACTGATATTGAACACATTCCAGAGTAAGGACCACTATTTTATTCAGAGTAAATATGTTTGAGATTGGGCTGAGATTGTTATTTTTAAAAATAAACGACAAAGGCCTCTATGATTCAATGGGCAGTTGACCTAGGACACAACATAGATATGGCCTCTTGGGAGAAGTTGTGGAAAACAACAATACATTTCTTGGCATGCTATGCTCTAAAAGAGAATCTACAAAAGATGATATATAGATAGTACTTGACCCTAGAAAACTTGTAAAAATGTATAAAAAGGGAACCAATTTATGTTGGAAATGTGAAGAGATTGAAGGGACATTTATACACATGTGGTGGGGTTGCAAGAAAGCCAAAGAGTATTGGGAGATGATATACTCAGAATTAAAAAAGATGTTAAGGGTCTCATTTCCCAGGAAACCAGAGATGTTCTTACTGAGTACAGCAGAGGGGGAAATACCAGCAGCCAGAATGGTGGAAGGACAAATATAGACTGGCAGAATAAGCTACTAGAATAAGCAGAGCTAGCAATGTTGATTGCAAAGATAAGAAATCAAGATGAGTCTGATATAAGAGAAGAGTGGGAATACTTTGGTGAATATTTAAAGAAATATAACGATCAGATAAACTTCCAACTGTGGTTAGATATATGAGCAGCAGTTAAAATAAGCAGAAGTGGGGTGGTAATTACGGAGATGCAGCTTAACAAGGACAAAATAAGGTCCCATGAGTGTGGAAGTCAAAGAGTGTAAGATAAACGATGACAATTGTATAACTGATGTACTAAGGTAGGTAAAATGCATAAATAAATAATTAAAGAACTGAACAACAATTAAAAACCACCTGAATTGTTAATTGCAGTGAACATGAGGGTTGTTGGCAATATGTGAAATGACATGAACCACAACAGAGTCTACCTACTGAGAAACAAATAAGTTTCATCTAAACAAGTCAACAATTCATAGAATCATAGAATCATAGAGTTTGAAGAGACCACAAGGGCCATCGAGTCCAACCCCCTGCCAAGCAGGAAACACCATCAGAGCACTCCTGACATATGGTTGTCAAGCCTCTGCTTAAAGACCTCCAAAGAAGGAGACTCCACCACACTCCTTGGCAGCAAATTCCACTGTCAAACAGCTCTTACTGTCAGGAAGTTCTTCCTAATGTTTAGGTGGAATCTTCTTTCTTGTAGTTTGGATCCATTGCTCCATGTCCGCTTCTCTGGAGCAGCAGAAAACAACCTTTCTCCCTCCTCTATGTGACATCCTTTTATATATTTGAACATGGCTATCATATCACCCCTTAACCTCCTCTTCTCCAGGCTAAACATGCCCAGCTCCCTTAGCCGTTCCTCATAAGGCATCGTTTCCAGGCCTTTGACCATTTTGGTTGCCCTCCTCTGGACACGTTCCAGTTTGTCAGTGTCTTTCTTGAACTGTGGTGCCCAGAACTGGACACAGTACTCCAGGTGAGGTCTGACCAGAGCAGAATACAGTGGCACTATTACTTCCCTTGATCTAGATGCTGTACTCCTATTGATGCAGCCCATACATTTACCTACGACAGAAATCCACTACATTCCCCACACAACAGCTCAGCAATACAAATAATCAAAACTAGGGGTGCCAGTCAACTGAAGCAAAGATAGAGATCTTCCCTGACTTAAAACACATCGGTAAATTAGACAATGAACAAGGAAGCAGAGCATATAATAGAATATTTAATTTGAGACTGAAAAGATATTCAGACTCTCTTTGGTACAATTTGAACAATTCTTGCATAAATAGTGATGCCCCCCCTTCACGTCTGTCCTTCTCTGCAGTAAGGATTTTGTCGCAAATCCATATTCTCATTTAATATGATGGAGAAAATTATTTTCAGAAAAAAACATTTTTCTTTCTATAAGAATAATAACTTGGGATTACAGTGGCTATAGATTTGGATTTGAACATCTCTCTTCGGACAGTCTATCATTTCTTTGAACACATAACCATATACTGTCAATCTCTCATCAAGTAATTTGATCCATTATAAACTAATTTATAACATGTGGAGTGAGGTAACATGGGATCCTGATTGTTTCAGGCAATTACATTGATTGATAAAAGGGTCTTAGGCTATGCTGGCATGTTGTGGCAAATTAAATATTCAGTGAGGAGCAAAATGTGAGTATTTTTATGTTGCTACATTACAAAAATGTCTGTCTGTCTGTGTGTGTGTGTGTGTGTGTGTGTGCATGCAATTTCCAGCAGTTTAAAATTATTTTTATCATTAGTTTTCCTGCATGAATATAGATATTTGTATAACTTCTAGGCTAAATACATTTCTCCATGAAATACCTGAAAACATTGCCATAATTTTAGGAGTGGCTATGTCCAGAGTTAGCCCAAGACATTTTAGCACCTGAGGTCAACCATAGAATCCTCCCCATGTTAAGCTTGTGGTCTACTAAGACCCCTATATACTTTTCACATGTTCTACTAACAAGCCAGATATCCCCCATCTTATATTTGTACAGCTCATTATTGCTGTCAGTGCAGAACCTTACATTTGTCCCTATTGACATTCATTTTCTTCATTGGGCCCAGTTCTCAAATCTGTTAAGTGTCGGAAATCAAGCCTTTATCGGGAGAAACTGGCAACTCTCCCAGGCACCTAGCTTGGTCCCCTGTTGACCTTCCTGGCTGCATTCCCCAGCAAGATCCAGGCTAGGTCACGATAGGCGATTCTTCCCAAACGTGGGAAGAACACACCCCCTCCCTCCTGCTCCCCCGGCAGGGAAAAGGAGATAGACAGAAACGTATTTACATGCTTTTATTTCTGTCTTTGCAGCATTACAGAAAACATGACTGCACTCTTCAAACTCCAGCAGTCAAGTGACAAAGACTTCCTGTACTTCCTGTACAAGAGCAAGAGGAACAGCTCAAATTACACTCTGTGCAATTTCCGGTGAACTGCCCTGTGAGCTGGCTGGAAGGCTGTTTCCCACAGTCAGCTCCAACATTCCCATCATGTGATGTTTTCAAGCTAGCAGTTTGCAGGTCATATTGAATCCTGATTCCGTCTTCTGTGGCATTAGCCCCCCTCCCACTTTGCAACTTGGATGTGCATCCACTCAATTCCTTCAACCAAGTCATTCATAAAGCCCTTGAAGAACAACTTGTCCAGGACAGAACCCCAAGGCACCCCGCTTGTCACTTTTTTCCAGGATGACAAGGAACCATTAGTTAGCACTCTTTGAGTTCAGTCAATCAACCAGCCACAAATCCATCTAACAGTTACCTCATCTAGCCCCCATTTTACCAGCTTCTCTGCAAGAAGTTCCTGAGATACTTTGTCAAAAGGCTTGCTGAAATCAAGAACACTACATCCACAGCATTCTCCTAATCCGCCAAGCGATCCAATAAGCCTGCATCAAAATAAAAAATAAGATTCATCTGGTATGACTAGTTTTTGAGTAAGCCATACTGGGTCTTAGTAATTACAGCATCCTTTTCTAAGTGTTCACAGAGTGGATGTTTTATTAACTGTTCTAAGACCTTTCCTGGTATTAACATCAAGCTCACCAATCTGTGGTTTGGCTCACCTTTGGCTCACAATTGGCTTCAGGTAGTGAGTGAATTGCCCTCAATCTCATACATGTTCATACCAGATGCATTCCTTCGAGTCTGGATCTGCTACCTCTGTGGATCCTGGCACCCAAGGCAGTTGTCTCACCTTGCCTCATATGCGGGCTAGCTCTAGTTACTTCATCACCATTTATCAGAATGGAGGCTGTGATGCATCTCAGTATCTGAGTGGTGAGAGACTCTAGGGGTGCCAGCACTTATCCAGGGTTCAGTTTCCTTGGAAAGAAGGTCATAAGACATTCTAGTGTCTTTAGTACATATGGTTTTATTTACACATATATACAACCTAAGCATAAGATGGAGTGTTAATGCTGTGAGTCTGACCAACAGATCTTGCTTGTCCATTAAATTTCAAGTAAGGTCCCCAAAGTCACAGCTTCGGATTCCTCACAGAGAGCAAGCTCCCAACTTCAGACCAGACTTAAAACAGAGACCAGTCCTTGGTCTGTTGTCCTCTTATCCCTAGGATGATGCAACATTCTGCCAGGGGAGGTGAGGGGAGTCTTAGCCCTCCTGAAAGAATATCACCACTCAGTTGTCTCTATGGCAACACTTCTGTTCTTAACCAGCTCCTCAGGCATGTAAATGGAGTGCTTACAGGCTTGACTGGGAACATAAACAATTCAGTGCAAAGTAGCTGTAAAATCAATGACTCACATTTGCGATACAATAAAACACAAAGGATGAGATGGTATTTCATAGCTGTCTTGTGTACTTAATGGTTTGGGAGTATAGCTTTGGACAAGAGCTTCATAATCAGTGCAGAGATATATTAAGATTCTCAACAAGGCTACCATGATTTATTTTGATTTCTTATGAATTGCTTCTTCTTTTTACCTCCTAAATGTGCTTAAGAAAGCACATGTGAAACCGGTCTTCACATAATATTCAATTCACACTGTCAGACCTTCAAGTTCTGCAAGCCAGGTGCTAGTATCATCGGTTCCCTTTATATCAGCTTGTTATTCACTGATTGACTGGCCCACCATTTATTAACTGCAGCAAACACATGTACCAAATGGTGCTTTTCAGCCAATAGTAACTCACAGAATGCCAGGCAGTTATGTGTACCACAGGATGAAGAGCACTGGCCACAAACAGAAGCAGACAATTTTATCTAAATAAATAATAATAAACTATGTGGGAAACTCAAATGATCTTATGATGGCTTAATTTATTATCTTCATTATTTACTATTGACAAAATGAAGATGGGAGGGGAACTATGGAGAAAATGTTTGATACACCCATCAATGATATGTATCTGGCTTCTGTGCAATTCAATTTTTGCAATCAGCCCAAAATACAGTGAAGTTAGATATGACCGATTTGCCTGCTGTTTGATATATATTTTCAAGATTGAGTGCAGTACACAGTCAAAATGGGAAAAACTACTCACTACATTCAATCCTACACACACCTGGGAGTAATTCCTTTGAACTTAATGAAACTTATTTTGGAGCAGATAAGCATAGAATTGCACTGAAAGAATACTAGAGTGTAGTTGCCAACTTGAATTGCCGCCACTTCTCCTTTTTTATTTATGTATCAGAAAGACTGGGTTTATGCCTGCTTTTTAAAATGGATGTAAAGAAGAAACAAATGTAACTACAGAAACACCTGACAGATGGGAAGTACTTCAGGGAACTAAGGCCAAAGGATAACCAATACTTCATATACAAGCAATGAAAGGAAATAAATAGCTGACACTTTAGTTTCCAGCATATCCATGGAATGAATTACACAGGTCACTGGGTCTGGATAGTGTTCAAATACTCAAACAATATTGTACAATAATTAAGAACAGTGTGGGGACTGGAACACTGGCAAAGCATCATGTTTCAACAGAGCATCTTCAATATAACAAAGGAAAATGTGCTGCCTACAGAATGAATTATGTTAATGGAACATTCAAGCAAAAGTATGTGGTATTCAACATGGGGTCAGCATTAAAAGATCATGAATACATTACTATAACAAATAGGAAGGTAATAAGTTTTTAAAAAAAAACAACAAAAAACAAAATGTAATTAACAACATGCACATTTGAAGGCTAAAGTGGCTTATTTGAAATGCTATGCAGAATTTCCATCTCATTGCTATTTTTTCCAGTCTAAGCAATAAGAGATCTAAGTATATCCCACCCCCAAGAGAAAGCCTTATTAGTGTAAAAGGATTACTAAAAGCTCCCTGTCCCATTTTTATTTAAAAAATGTATCACTATTGCCAGAATCCTACACCCACTTACCTACAAGTAAACCCCAATAAATACAGTGGGACTTGCTACTCAGTAACATGCATAGGCTGTATGGAAATTTTCAATCCTGGAAATGTTGAGATCTGAAGACTTGCAGGTCAAGGGGATAGTGGGGGTCAAACTGCAAGATCCAGAACTTAAATTTTAGACAAAACGTTCAGTTAAAGCTCTTTGCTAGCCGGTACTGGAAGCAGCAGGAGTTGAGAAGCACTTTCGAGATGATAACAAGCCTGGGCACAATAACGATATCCAGTGCCAAGCTCAAAGAGCTTCTCCTTCGCTGCCATCACTGTTAGCTGAAGATGAGGAAGTTGTCCCTATACTGAAGAAACAGGTATGGGGGGGGGAAGCTGTGGGGAGGACAAGTGGGTCTTAGTCTTTTGCACTTCAGATGGTTCAAAAAGGCTTACAGTGCAAGCCTATGTATGCTTACTTAGAATTAAGCTTCATTGTGTTCAGTGAGGCTTCCTCCCAAGTAAGTGTGCATAGGATTGTAGCCTTAGTATGGCCCAATCAGGCACAATTGCTCATCTATTTCAGTACCCACAGTCCAGAATAAATCCAGACTTCAATCTGCAGTGGCCCCTACCAGTCCTTATAGCCAACAGAGTCTGTTCTAGCTGCTGCTGAGCCTAAACTTTCTGCCACATGTTTTTTCCAACTATTCTCCATCAATTAATGAGAAAAGAAATAGAAAAGGGGAGATTAAACAGTGAAATTATTATTGGTGTGGTGCAAGACTTTGTTATGTGAAGCTTACTTTTAAGGTCATTGAGCAATGTTTTATGAGTGTCATTTCTTCCCATTCTGCACCCTGCAGCCTTCCTGGGTGCTCTCTTTTCCTGAAAATTCCATGACATCCCCAATGGATTTACCTGTAAGCACAGAAAAATGGGAAGAGCCTAATGTGCTCCTAACAGCTGTTCATTGTTACCTATTGTTTTAGGTCATCGTACTTTTAAAGAAATCAGCAATTATTGATAATAAAAGGTAAGAGAAAGGCTTCCCTTAAAAATAACGTCATTGAGCACACTATTTCCAGACATTCTGTAACCAGCTTTGCAGGCTTCCTACCTGTCAATTAAAGTTCAGGGAAAGACATTATAATATATTATAAGGTAACTCATCTGATGGGGCTTTTCCAGGACAGGAGGAATAGGCAGCCAGGGAGAATGCAGCATGCTAGAATGGAGTTTAACCTATTGCCAGCTTACAATAAAGCAAGCTAAACTCTGCACCCACCAATAATCTGAATAAATTCTGAAGTGCCCTGAGAATGTGTCAGAAAAATAGAAGCCTCTTTCATGGACAGTACAACTGCGTTAACCTAGGGGTACAAAAAGGTGTCTCTTGACATGACTCAGAAGTGTCAATACAGCACTTGACTACTTGAATTTGAAAGAAGACTTTGAAAGGATATTCCCTCCCCCTATTTTAAACAGTATGCTACTAAAAAGCAAAAGGCACAGAGTAGGAGAAATAAAATAAATAAAAATGTGAATAGTGCCTAAATTCCCCCCTCAATATCTGTTTGTCTTTCATTTAGAGGGTGGGAGATGAAAAACAATTGGATGATGCATTCACTTTGCTAGGCTGATTAAAAGCTCATCAAGGGCCTCAAGTGGCGTAAAGTTTTAAATCCATTGATTAAATTTGCATCTCTTGTTTTATAAGTGTTCATCCACACAGAGGGCAACCTAAACAGCAAAATCTTTTGCCATGTTAGGTATAGATTTATAACACTTTAAATAGATTGGTCAAAACTGATGTTCCACATGATACATTTTGAAATACCAATTTGTGCTGGATTTTAACAGCCCTGTAAACCAATGCTATCACTAGAAGGCATATGGATAAGAATGACTGTGGATAAGAAAGGAAATATGAGGTATTTGGTTTTGGTTTAATTATTTCTAGCCTAGGATTTTTTTTATGTTGTATCTTAGAACAAGTACACTCAGGACTCTGGAGCACAAATTATTCCCATGTGGTGGTGCATAGAAAATGACTTTTTTGTGGACAGCCAACAAAGAGCAGTTCTCCTGTTAGCCATAGCCAACAGAGAGCTTCAGAACATCCTAGTGCTCTTACAATTCAGCATTTAAAGCTTAATATCAGGGGTCAGCAACCTTTTTCTGCCATGGGCCAGTCCACCGTTCCTCAGACCATGTGGTGGGCCGGACTACTTTTTTTGGGAGGGGGATGAACGAATTCCTATGCCCCACAAATAACCCAGAGATACATTTTAAATAAAAGGACACATTCTTCTCATGTAAAAACACACTGATTGCCGGACCATCCGCAGGCCAGATTGAGAAGGCGAATGGGCCGCATCCGGGCCCCGGGCCTTAGGTTGCCTACCCCTGCTTAATATTTTGTTGTTATTTTTTGAGAAACAATTTTGATTTCAAGGGATTAAAATATTCAGGACACCACACAAAAGGGAAAGAAACAGAAAGACAATTTGTTAATAAAAGGGAAAGAAATAGATAGACCATTTTTTTTTACTAACAGTGGTCCACATATCAGTCACAGTGGTCCATTTCTCATGTTATCTATATGTACAATGCACACATGAGGCAGTGGGGAGCCAAACCACAACCCACACTCATGCTGGTGCAGCACTCAATGCCCATGCATTTGCTGCAGTGTCTGTAAAAGTCATGTGTCAGCTGCTGGATGCATGTAAGTGCTCCTTGTGACTGGAGTCCCTTCACATATTGGTTCTTTGCAATAAAAAAAATGTACGTATAAAAAGGCATAATCTGATGAGCCTTTACATGCATGTACAACATTGCAAACTCTTTTTTTTAAAAAAAAAAAACCCTATTAAGTTTCAAAAGCGGCCTGACAGATATAGCTCAAGGTATTCTTTTGGCTAAAACAACAAAAGCTCTGCAATATACACATAGATCTTAAATGCGCTTTCATGGTCCAAGACTGAGATTATCAACACATTTCCTTGGAATCTTAGGACTGAGGTGTTAATTGTCTTTTGTGCTGTATTGCTGCATATTTCTCTGTGCTAAAATTTGATCATGTTAGCCCAGACAACAGATGAGTTTTGCACCCAATTTATGTTTGCATGCCAACTGAAAGTAAAATTGACAAGGTCCCTTAAAGTATCAGTAGCAACTGCAGGGAGCCAGTGCATAAAGGTATTTTGTTGTTGTTTAGTCATTTAGTCGTGTCCGACTCTTCATGACCCATGCTACATAAAGAAGTGTTTGTGGCTAGATTACATTGAATTTCTGAGTATTAATTTTTCACTTCCGTATAGGTGTTGGCAAAAGTGATTTCGTAAAAATAAAACTTTTGCTTTTCAACACTTGACTGTTCTGGGGATGGGCGCAAAAGACATGAATCAATTCAACACAGGAGACCCGTGAGCAGGCTCTGCTATGGTTAGCTTTCATTTTCTATAATTAGCAGCATCATACAGCTGTTTTGAAGAATTGTATTAAATAGATCCTTCTGTATTTAATGCTTCTCAAAATACCATATGGTTTTTTATTAAGCTTCTTTTGATATCAAAACAAGAGAAGGAGGAACAAGCACCACAGAATTTATTTTGCAGTTTGGTGGAATTTTAGGATATCTTATTGTTGGAAGGTGGCCAAGAAAAGTAGGTGTATTTTTCCCTGCAGTAAACATTTCTGTGTAGAGCTACTCTGACTTCACACACTTCCTGATCAGAAAAAGTCCAATAAGAGGCAGGGGCGGAAGAAATGGGGTGTGGTGGGGGCGGGTTGCCCTGGGTGTCACCACTGACGGGGTGACAAAATGCCAGGCGGCACTCACTGGGAGAGACACGGTGGCTTGGGCGTGTACAGGCTCTGCGCTGCCCAAACGATCTGCCCACTGCCTCCCCCCCAGTTGTAGGGTGGCTGAGTGGAAGGAGGCAGGCAGACTCTGGAGGCCCCGCAGTGCGTCCCATCCTTATGGGCGGCTTGCCCCACCCCTGGGTGCGCCGCCCCAGGCGCCCGAGCAGCTTCCTCTGCCGTTGCTAAGAGGAGTTGCTTCCTGATGTATTTCCCCAGGCTTTAACTGAAGCATGGGCACCCAGGAGAGAGCCAGTGTGGTGTAGTGGTTAAGAGCGGGAGACTCGTAATCTGGTGAACCGGGTTCGCATCTCCGCTCCTCCACATGCAGCTGCTGGGTGACCTTGGGCTAGTCACACTTCTTTGAAGTCTCTCAGCCCCACTCACCTCACAGAGTGTTTGTTGTGGGGGAGAAAGGAAAGGAGAATGTTAGCCGCTTTGAGACTCCTTTGGGTAGTGATAAAGCGGAATATCAAATCCAAACTCTTCTTGAGGAAGGCTACAGAGTGCAGGCAACAGGTGAGATGATATGCATAATGAAATAAAAGACACTCACAGACACCGCTTGGCCACCTCAAAAGTAAGGTAAGCATAACCCTACACATAAGAAGACAATTCATTTTCTCATTAATGGGAGAGAAAGAATGGGGGGGGGAATGCAGATAGGAAGGGCACAAAGTGGATCTTTTGATGAGTAAAATAAAACAAAACTTCAAGACACTGCAGGAGTTCTTCATCACGAATCTTCCACATCATGCCTAGCTTTTTAGTAATGTAAAATGAAATCCCATCCCTCACAAACAAACGAAGTTATATGCATATGAATTGGTATCTTCAATTGGACTTACGGACATAAAGAATATTGGATTGTTGGCATAATACGAGTTCTAGAAGATGGTACAGACAGTTTCTCTGAAATAGAATAAATACAAAACAGCACTGGGCAGTTACAATATTCATCCATTACAATCATCCTTTTAAGAATGTTGGCTATTGATGAATTCTGTCTGACAAAGGCACAAGATCAAGACACAAGTAACAATAGGTTAGTGAGTAAGGAATACATTTTCTGGAAATTGTCATTAGCAATTTGCTATGGGAATGGGAAAGAAAAATACCTTACTGAAAATCAAATATGCTCTTTGCCTTTTAGACCACTTAGCAATTTGAAGCATTGACAGAAGAAATAGACATTTATTTTTTTCAGGGAAGGGGGAAAAAAAGGACAAAGGAATCACTAAGGCTGCCACATGCTGCTATAAATCATTATTAAATGAAATGCAAATAAATCCAGAACACTTGATCCTGCAGCTCAAACCAATGCATTGAGAAGAGACAAAATAGCTGAAACTCCACTGCAACATTATGTTTTGTGGTGTTACACTGATTATGCGATCTGATTGGGATGGCAGACTGACACAGTGGCCTGTATTAATGCAGCTGTGCTACCAGCTGCCCCTTTAGAAATGTCAACAACCTGATGCCAATGTGGTGGAGTAGGAAGATGATTGACTAGGGCGCACTTCCCATTTCAGCTCCTAGAGGCCTGGACACACTACGTACAGCTATGAACTAAATTCCCCTAGTGGGATTGGAAGAAGAGGCAGTAGAGAAGAATGGGGATGCTTAACTTTTTATATACCACCATCAGTGTAAATGGCACTTTATGGAGCAGCATAAACAAAAGGCGTGTCACTGATGAGTTTACAATCTCAGTTTAGACAGTGAGTTGTTAAAGACAATAAGGGAGGAAGTGGAAGGAACAAGGAGAAAACAAACTGCAGAAGAATAGGAAAGTGTGAGTGGACGTTGACAACAGATGAAGGCAGCTGCATGTACGTCACATTTGTTTGAGTTAATGAGCTGGACTAAAGGCACAATCCTAACACCCAGTCTACACTGCTGGTTTTTTCCTACCACCAGGCTCCACCACCCAGGGGAGAGATCTTCCACCTCAGAAGCCCACACTGTACCTACCAAAGGCATGGGATGATTGCTAAATACTCAACAGAAGGAATCTTGTCAGCAGAAGTCCCTGAAATAGTGCATTTTAGGAGAGGGGTGTACCAAAGCAGACAAAGGCTGGATCCCATACCAATCCTGCTTTGCCCTAGCCCTGAAATGTCCTATTTCGGGGCCTTATTAGGGGAAGATCCCTGGATCATCTGCCAATCCATTTGCTGAATAGTAGCAGGAAATGCAAACCTGCCCACTTGGGTCTGTCTGGACTGTTAGGAGCTGGCAGGGCTTCAGATGCAGCAGTGGTTTTTCTTCTCTGATAAACCCCAGAACCTTTCAAGATTGTTCTGGATGAGACTAAGCCAACGGCTTCACAGAAGTGATGAGCTGAGAGTTGAAGAAACGAATGTGGACTTCCGGGGTGGCGCCATCGGTAATGGCGGACTCCCTCTGATCCGGAGGGACTGGCTCTACGGAAATCGGGTCTGTTCCGCTACGCCGAAGCGGGGACCCTTTAAAAAATCACAGGTGGGTGAAGCCTGTGACCGTGGGACTCGGCGGGCACCTTTCGCACTCCCCCAATTTGTAAAGGAACCCAATTACGGGCTCCGGAGCGAAGCGGGGCAAGCGGCGTGGTGCTGAGAGTCAACTGCTTCTTCCGTGGAGCGAAGCCGCACAGCCGTTACCGGAGAGTGCTGACTTTTTCCTGTGACAATCTGGCTACAAAAACAACTACCCGTGAGTAGGTTAAACTTGGAAATAAAGGAAAATAAAGATTTAATTTGGCACTGAAGCGGGGAGGCATAAACAGGAAGTCCGCCTTCCGTTTCTTGTAAATAGAGTAAAGCAAAGAAGTTGTAAACTAAAACCTGGAAAGTCGATTGAAAAGGACTATAATCCTAACATCAGAGCAAGCGATTCCCCCCTTGGTTGCAGGAGAGGAGGGGGGAAAGGTGTGAACTATATTTTCCTGCAAAAAGAGAGGAAAGGAAATAAAAATCCACCGCTTAAAACCTGGGAACGGACTGCCAATGGACAATAAGAATGCCATATTGTGAATGCGCTGTTGGTGAATAGAGTACCTTTTGACAGCTAACTCTGAAAGAGAGATACATTGTTTCTGGCTGGCTTCTCCTGATTTTAAAGTAACTGGAAACTAACTGAAATTGAAATTGTTGCCTATTTTGTGAATTGGGGGATTAAAAAGAGTTATTTTTTAATGCAACAAGCTTTGACTGCTACTGTGTCCCCCTAGAGGAAGTTTGAAATTGTTACAACAACTGGACCAGGGGAATTTTCCACTTCAAAACAAATTGACCTTGAGCTTTAACTAGAGTGTTATGGCAGATGGAAAAGAAAAGATAGACTTGTTTCAAGAAAAAAACAACGAGGTCTGGTAAATCTTGGCTGCAGTGAAGAGCATCAGCATCTGGCCCTTCTGCACCAACAGGGGCTACATCTGTACAACTTAAACCAAAAGGAATGGCATCTGAAGATGTTTTAGCTCTGGCATTAGGCAAAATTAATGAATCTTTGGAAAAACTAAGTAAACAAGTAGCTGAAGCATCAACTAAAATTGATCAAAACACTACAAGTATTAATAATTTGGGACAGAAGGTGAACACTAACACAGAAACTATTGAGAAACTGCTACAGGAATCTACTTTGACCCGAAAGACAGCCGAAGAAGCAAAGGAAAAAGCAGTTGCTGTAGAAGAGAAGATACCACCGATACATAGGCAACTTGAGGACCACAGGTCGATGTTGTCTATGACTGAATTGAAGGAGAAACAAACGAATTTGAGGATCAGGGCTGTACCTGAACTTGAGAAAGACAACCTGATTGACTTTCTTATGCAGGAATTTGCAGACTTTTGGAACCTAGATTTGGAGAAGGAAGATTTTAAGATAGTGAGTGCGTTCAGGCTTGGAAGAGGGGGGAAGAAGAACAGGGTGAGAGACTGTTTGATCACCCTCCGAACAAAAGAGGAGAGAGACAAAATCTTGAGTCTGCACTTTCAGAAGACTTTGGAAATACATCAGTCAAGAGTGGAGATATTTAAAGACATCCCGAAACATCTTTTGGACCTTAGGTCCAATTACGGAGATTTGGTTGCCCTGTTGAAAAGCAACAGAATTAGACCGTATTGGCAGACAGAGTATAATGGAATAAGGAAATATGTAGTGTAAAATAAAAAATAGAGGAGAATTAAATATTTTTGAATGTTAAATTAAGTAAATGAAAAGAAGGTTAGAAGGGTTTGCTGGAGATACGACTTAAATTAGAATACAAAGCAGAGAAGTGAGAGGAAGTCTTGGAAATAAGTAAATGGGAAAATGATCTTAATGGTTTAATTTGATTTTTTGTTACTTTTGTATTGTGATTTTTTGTCCTTTGTATTTTTTTTCTGTATCGTGTGGTGTTTTTTTTTGTAGGGTGTATGTGATTTGTTTTTCTTTTTTTTGCTTTTTTCTTTCTATGTAATCTTAAAATTGGAATAAACATTCTTTAAAAAAAAAAATGAAAAGCAACAGAATTATCTTTAGGTGGGAATTTCCCCAAGGCCTATCTTTTAGCTTCAAAGGAAGAAAGATAAAAATAAGATCAGTGGACGACAAAGAAAGATTTTTGAAAGATCACGGAGAAGATTTGCAGAAAGAATCTGGAGAAGAGCTAAGAGCACTAGAAAGAGGAATACTAGACATAGCAACACTACCTTTTGGACTGGACTGCTTAGAGAAAGCGATACCACCAACAGAACAAGAACAAACACTTGGCGCAGTTGGAGGAAAAGCAAAGTAACTACATCATGGCTCTGCAACTATTAAGCTGGAATACTAATGGTCTCAACTCCCCCCAGAAAAGGAAAAGAGTTTTTCATTTATTAAAAAAGGAACAATTGGACTTGATTTGTTTACAGGAAACACATGTGATAAGGCTACATAGAACAGTATTGATCAACAAAAGACTGGGCCAGGAGTTTATCTCATCGGACAAAGTAAAAAAAAGAGGAGTAGTGATTTATGCAAAGGAGAGTTTATCACTGAAATTTATCTTTAAAGATGACCAAGGAAGATTTGTGGCAATTGAAATTCAAATACAAGGAGAAAAATTTTTGATAGTAGGAGTTTATGCACCAAATGAGGGGAAATCTGAATTCTTTAAAAAGTTGCATGAGACCTTGATGGACTATTTGGACTATAATGTGATTTTGATGGGGGATATGAACGGAGTGGTATCTACAAATATGGACAAGGCACAAAGACAGGTAGTCACTAAGGATGGTAGACTACCGAAAACCTTTTTTGAGATGACAGACAACTTGGATTTAGTTAATATTTGGAGAACAAAGAATCCCTTGGGTAGAGAGGGAACCTAGTTCTCTGAAGCCAAAATGAAATGGACAAGAATTGACCAAATATGGGTAACTAGAGGAATGGCACCAAAGACAAGAAAAGTGGAAATTTGTCCAAAAACCTGCTCCGACCATAATGCCGTGAAGATGGAGATGAAACTAACACCAACTGGCTCTTTCAGATGGAGGATGAATGACACCTTATTTAGAGATGAAGAAGTGACTAAGAAGTCCCCAAAAACCTTGAGAGGCTATTTCGAGACAAACATGAACACTAATGTTGAAAAAAGAGTAATCTGGGACGCAAGCAAAGCGGTTATGAGAGGGTTCTTGATACAACAGAATGCAATAAAGAAGAGAATCCAAAATGAGAAGAAAGATAAAATTTTGGAGAAAATAAAGGAAAGTGAGAAGAAATTGAGAGTAAAACCAAAGTCGCAAGAGATTTTGAGAGAAATAAAGTTATATCAAGTACAATATATGAAAATGATGAATCAGGAAATAGAATGGAAAATTAAACAAATGAGACAAAAGACATTTGAGTCGGCTAATAAATGTGGGAAATTGTTGGCCTGGCAAATGAAAAAAAGACAAAAACTAAACACTATTATAAATCTAGAAGTGGAAGGAAAGAACATACAGAACCCAGTCGAGATTAGAAAATGTTTCCAGAGGTACTTTAAACAATTATATACACAAGGGCCACAGAAAGAAATTGATATAGATCGATTTTTGAAAATAAATGGATTACAAAAAATCTCTCAAGAAAACAAATTAATGTCGAATTATAAAATAACTGAACAGGAGGTAGAAGGTGTCATTCAGAATATGCAGTTAGGTAAATTTCCAGGACCGGATGGACTGACTTCTAGATACTACAGATCTTTAAAAGAATGGTTAGTACAACCTTTAAAGGAAGTCTGTAATGAAATATTGGATGGGAAAAGGGCACCAGAGTCGTGGAAGGAAGCATACATCACACTTATACCGAAAACAGAGACTGAAAAGAACTCAAGAACTACCGCCCCATATCACTGCTTAATGTGGATTATAAAACCTTTGCAGATATTTTGGCGAAAAGACTAAAAAAAGTGCTAGTGGAAGAGATTCATAAAGATCAAGCAGGCTATCAGACACTTGTCTGATAATATGAGAAACATAATCAATATTTTAGAAAAATTACAAGTGAATATTAATACCAAGGCAGTTTTGATATTTGTGGACGCGGAGAAAGCTTTTGACAATATTTCTTGGAGTTTTATGAAGAAGAATCTACAGGGGATGGGGGTAGGCCAAGGCTTTGGAAATGGTATAAGTGCAATTTATTCAGAACAAAAGGCTAAATTAATTGTCAATAACGTGGTGACGGAGGAATTTAAGATAGAAAAAGGGACACGACAAGGTTGCCCAATCTCCCCATTGCTTTTTATATCGGTCCTGGAGGTCCTGCTGAATATGATTAGAAGGGACCAATTGGTTAAAGGTATACAAGTCAGAGCTAAACAGTACAAATTGAGAGCATTTGCAGATGACTTAGTATTGACATTACAGGAGCCAGAATCTAGTACTAAAAGAGTTTTGGAACTGATTCAAGAATTTGGTCAGGTTGCAGGATTTAAACTGAATAAGTTAAAAACAAAGGTCTTAGAGAAAAATTTAACAGCGATTGAGAGAGAGAGGTTTCAGAATGAGACAGGCTTAACAGTGGTTAAGAAAGTGAAATACCTGGGGATTAACATGACAGCTAAAAATGGGAATCTATTTAAAGACAATTATGAAAAATGCTGGACTGAAGTGAAAAAAGATTTAGAAATTTGGTCAAATTTGAAGCTTTCACTGCTAGGCCGCATTGCTGTGATAAAAATGAATGTATTGCCTAGAATGTTGGTTTCGTTTCAAACATTGCAAATTTTGGATAAAATGGATTGTTTCAAGAAGTGGCAGAGAGATATTTTTAGATTTATCTGGCAGGGCAAGAAGCCTAGAATAAAATTTAAAATACTAACGGACGCAAAGGAAAGAGGCGGATTTGCCCTGCCAGACCTTAAACTTTATTATGAATCAGCAGCTTTTTGCTGGCTGAAAGAATGGCTGCTTCTTGAAAACACAGACATTTTGGATTTAGAAGGTTTTAATAATGTATTTGGATGGCATGCATATTTGTGGTATGATAAGGTCAAAGCACATAAAGCATTTAAAAATCATATTGTCAGGAAAGCATTGTTTAATGTCTGGATAAGATATAAGGACCTACTTGAAAATAAAACCCCAAGGTGGTTGTCACCGATGGAAGCGAAGGCTCAGAAAAAACTCAATATGGAGGCCAAATGGCCGAAATATTGGGAAATTTTGGAACAAGAGGGAGACAAATTGAAATTGCAGAGTTTTGAAAAACTAAAAAAATAAAGTGCGAGATTGGCTTCATTATTATCAGATAATGGAGGCATATAATTTGGATAAGAAAATTGGCTTCCAGGTGGAAAAATCAAAATTGGAAACAGAACTGTTAGACCCCAAAACCAAGATTTTGTCAAAGATGTATAACTTGCTGTTGAAATGGAATACTCAGGATGAAACGGTGAAATCAGCTATGATTAAATGGGCACAAGATGTTGGACATAACATAATGATGGCTGACTGGGAACAGTTATGGACCACAGGTATGAAGTTTACGGCATGTAATGCCTTAAGAGAGAATATTATGAAAATGATTTACAGGTGGTACATAACACCAGTCAAGCTTGCAAAAATCTATCACTTGCCCAATAATAAATGTTGGAAATGTAAAGAAACTGAAGGTACATTCTTTTACCTTTGGTGGACGTGGCCAAGGATTAAGGCTTTCTGGGAGATGATTTATAATGAAATGAAAAAGGTATTTAAATATACCTTTCTGAAGAAACCAGAGGCCTTTCTCCTGGGCATGGTTGGCCAATTGGTGTTAAAGAAGGACAGAACTTTCTTTATGTATGCTACAACAGCAGCAAGAATACTTATTGCAAAGTATTGGAAGACACAAGATTTACCCACTCTGGAAGAATGGCAGATGAAGGTGATGGACTATATGGAACTGGTGGAAATGACTGGCAGAATCCGAGACCGGGGAGAGGGGTCGGTGGAGGAAGATTGGAAGAAATTTAAAAACTATCTACAGAAATACTGTAAAATTAATGAATGTTAGAATGATGTTGGATTGAAGTTAAGTGGTTTTTAGCAGCAATGTTATAAAGGAATATGTAAAAATGGATTGTTAACAGGTGATAATCTAAAATTATAATATATTAAGATAAAAGATTAAGATAAAATCAAAGAGGGAAAGGAATTGCTGAATTAACTAATTGAACTGGAATGCAAGAAGGGGAGGTGTGAGGATGTCAGGGAAACAAGCAAATGAAAGATAAGATATGGAAAGATGGACTTGTTTTTAACTGTTTTTTTTACCTTGTATTTTTATTTTTATTTTTTATTTTTTTACTTCTTTCTCTTATTTTTGTAATATGCTGAAACTTTAATAAATATCTTATATATATATAAAAAGAAACGAATGTGATGGCTCGTTATGGGTATTTTGGCTCTGCTGAGAAACCAGCTCTATTTGGTTCCTCCCATCTTTCAACTGTCACTTAGTGTTAGCCATTCTGTTTGGTTGCAGCAGAGGAAGAGATGAGGATGAGGCCTGTCCCATCAGCTGTGGTCAGCAACCGGGTCCATTTAGGAACTGCTGCCTGAGTTTGCTTGCTTGAATCTTCCCTTATCACCCCTTTCCCTGTTTGTGTTGTCTTTTAAACAGTAAGTCTGTGTTTGTTATCGATCTTATGCAGCTGCTCATGGATTAAACCAATCAGTTATATATCCTATATTAAAATGTTTCATGTCCAATATATCAGTAATGTTTACATCATCCTTGTAAGGTAGTCCTGCATACTCAGTTTATGTAAGGGGAAAGGCTGGAACTAAACTGAAGCTTGCCTAAGGTGGCTTGCCTAAGGTGATTTCAGTGCTGAGATAGGATTATACAAAAGAATATCCTCCTGAGTCAGGTTTGAAGGTGGACTTGGAGTGCAGTGAACCTTTTTTTTTTTTTTTGGCAGTCAGAGCATTTTTTAATACCTTACATCTCCCTCTAGTCTAATTTATCTCCACTCTCCAACTCATACTGCATTTCTCCTTTTTTCCACACACCTCTCTAGGAAAATTGAAGTCGGGTACTGGAGCATTTATGTCTATAAGATGGCAGCCCCAGAGATTGTGAAACAAAAGACTCAAAAAGAAACTTATATACAAAATAATTCTAGGCAAGAAGATTTCCACATGAGAAAATTACACCCACAAATCTACCTTGAAATGTTTCATTTGGAAAGAGTTTGTGTTTTATCCAAGAGGCAAATTCATTTTAAATGTATTCACTTCATGTATAGCTAAGGTACAGAATGCACATTTAATTAACAAAAAATTAGAAAGTAAGGTACACTAAGAAAACAACAACAGAAGTGTGTGGGATTTCTTTTTTCTTCTTCTTTTGCATCTGCTTGTATTATTAAAAGATATAATTCCACTATATAAAAAATGTGGCTCTATAATCTTCCCTCTGAGTAAAAATGAATTATATTGACTTTAGACAATGGCGTATTATAGAAGAGTGTCAGTTCTGTACTTAACTCTTTCTAAACTGCCTGCAGTGCATTAGAGAAGTAGAAAGGGCACACAAAGCGTTAATTGATTCTGTAACGGTGGGGAAATAAGAAATCATAAGGTTAGGGCGAAAGCAAGGGAAATCTGCTAAAGTGATGTATAAACTGCACAGGAGACTAAGAATTTGAAGATTCATTTGATTGTGTCTGAGTGATTCATGATTATAAGATTAATAGAATACATTTTAAATGCCAGCAGCTAGATGGTAGTCATACACAACACTTTTTCAAATATATCCCTCTTCTGATTTTGTTTAAAGGGGGGGGGGGAACCAAGATAATGATTCAGTTACTATCTCCAATAGACTATCATTTGATCACACACTAGTTTTGATATAAATTATGCAAAATCTGGGATAGTAAACAATGCATTTTGATTTTTTTAAAAGTTACATTTGGTAATATTAAGAGTTCTATGGCTAACATGATATGTCACATTATAATGTTATAATCAGCATTATATGGGTTAGATCCATAGAAGACTGAGTGAAATTTTGTTTGGTCAGTGAGACTTTCCTGGTTTTTCCTTCCCTTACGGTGCCTATGCCCCCATGAAACTACTCCTGATCCTATGGAATGAAGTAGGCTGGGGCAAGGGGATGGGGCAGGGCGGGGTGATGGCTGCAGTGAGATGGCGAAATTGAAAGAATTCAGCAGGATTGACTTGAGCAAGCAGATGTGGTTTTGGATACAAGTCAATAGCTTTTCCAGCTATTCCACTGTTGTCCATACTTGCGCAGAAGGCATAATCTAAAGCAGGGGTAAGCAGTGTGGTAGATGTTTTGGACTTCCATCATTCCTGACCAAATGTCATGCTGGATGGGCTGGTGGAAGTTGGCACCACATTGGCTTTCCCTGATTTAGAGAACTTTTCCTATTCGACAGGTCTGGCTTCAGGGTTTGGTGGCTTTTGGTAACAGGATATCTCTGACCCCTTGGCCTCTCCCTTTCCTCCATAGGCCTGCCCCAGTAGGTGAGACTGTTTTGGGGTGGGGGGCATTGTCAGCACTGCACCAAAGGCCCCCTGAAATCTAAGTTAACCTTGGCTGGAGCTAAGGTTTCATCAATGCCAGTCTGCCTCAGTTGATCAGCTCTCCTGGAGCTCTACCTCTATGGTCCACTTTCCTAAACTGCTCAGCACCTTCTGAAAGGACTGGAACATTTTGAAATGTATTAATTGGCATTCCTACTGTCAGCCCCATATACCCAGTTGCCCCTTGCTTGGGCTGCCATTGTCTGTCTCTTGCTTGGATTATTTTGGGTGGCAGGCATGAGGCAGATTGTCACCTCTCTCCAGAGAGATCTGAGCATGGGCTCAAGAAAAACCACATTTCCAGGATGCTGCTGTGATTTTCCCAAATATATACCTTTTTTCCAATCCATGGCATGAGCAGCATACAAAGTATTTGTCGAGAGCAGACCGGGGTAGCAGGATTGCGGCAGGATGTTCTGGTGGTAACCATTATTTTCAGCTATGCTAAGGTAGATTTATGGTAAGTGGGATCCAGCAACTCTTAGGATAACTACATATCATGATCTCTAGGCTTTGTACCTCAGCATGTTGCTATCCTGGAATACTCCAAAGAGACAAACATAAACACATGAAAAGAGCTTGTTGGATCAGACCAATCTTGTCCAGCATCCTATTCTCAAAGTACAACCAGATGCCTGTGAGAAGCCCACAAGCAAGAACTGAGCGCAAGAGAAATCCCCCTCCTATGTTTTCCAGCAAGTAGTATTCAGAAGAATATGGCCTCTGACCACGGAGGGAGAGCATAGCCATCATGGCTAGTGGCCATTGATAGTCTTCTATGCATTTGTATAATGCACGCCTCCATGTTAGTGGCCATCATAGTCTTGTGGGAAGGTATTCCATAGTTTAACTACATCCTCAAACTTCCAACATGCAGCTTCATTGGATATTCAGCATTCTAGTGTGTCAGGGACTGGATTGAGGGGACGAGACTGAGGACGAATGGTGGAGACCATCCCCCCTCCGCCTGAACCTTCCAGAAAAGAGGAAGGCAGTATTGAATCACAGCAGTGGTTTGAGGAAGGTCACAGCTCAGATACAGGTGAACAGAAGAGTTGGGAGGTGTTGGGAGAAGAGAAGGGGGAGACAGAGGAGCCAGCTGACACATTATCACTGGAGAGCATTTCTGACCCCCCTTCTCCCAGAACCCGGCATGCATTGAAAGTGGAAAAGCAAAGGACTTAGAGACAATTAGCTCCTGGCAGCCACCTGAAGGGGAAGTGCTGTTGCTAGGAAGGGAGGGGGGAAGAGCCAGCATGGTGTAGTGGTTAAGAGCGGTGGACTCGTAATCTGGTGAACCAGGTTCACTTCCCCACTCCTCCACATGCAGCTGCTGGGTGACCTTGGGCTAGTCATACTTCTCTGAAGTCTTACAGCTTCACTCACCTCACAGTGTGTTTGTTGTGGGGGATGAAGGGAAAGGAGATTGAGACTCCTTAAGGGGAGTGAAAGGCAGGATATCAAGTCCAAACTCCTCCTCCTCCTCCTCCTCCTCCTCCTCCTCTTCTTCTGTTGGACCAACACCATTAACCTAAGAGGCAGCGTACAGAGGCACTGTGAAGATTGAATATAGACTCGGTAAGAGCTTCCTTGGCTGTCTGCCATGAAAGGGGAGAGGATCAGAATTCACTGAAACCTGACAGTGTTATGAGAGGGGGACAAAGTTTCTACTTTCTCTTTGCCATGTTTTATACACTTCTTTCATGACAGTTTCCATATTTCAAAAAGTGAAAAATTGCTGAGCTTTTTCTAGTTTTGCCCAAAGTTGAACTTTTTTTTTGGCAAAATCGGCAAAATTGTTTTTTAGCTGTTTTTAAAGAAAATCAGCAAAAACCCCACTGCTGACATACATCTAGATTTTCCTGGACATTTTACCAATTTCTGCCCGGACACTGTTTTTGAGTGCAATATTCCTGGTATGTCGAGGAAATTCCGGACATATGACAACCCTATCATGTCACCTCTTATTTGCTTTTCCCACCTTGGGTTACATAACCATACAGTGATGATCTGACACATCTGTCCTCCATGGCTGGTGGGTCACACATTTGTGCAGGCCTAAACTACCTACACTGTGCTACCTTCTCATATCAATACCTTGAAAATATGTTGCTGCAATGGCTCCCCTGTGTCTGTCAAAGTGCCTGTATTGATTTTTCTTAGAACTGTGTTCAATTGGAAACCTAAGCTTTATAACACACACACACACAAAAAGAGAAACCCCTAACCCTATGAGCTTGCCTAAACTCTTCACTGACCTCTGTTTTGTCTGACTACAAAATGATGGTGATAGGTAACTGGGAAGAGGGACATTCTGGATACTGTGCCCTGAAGAGAATATTATTGGAATACCTTCTTCAAAGAGTTTCATGTAGCATGAGCTCTGGTGCTATTTTGAGGCCAACTTTTTAAAAATCTCACTGGACATCTCATTATATAATCTAAATTTGCTCAGATTATGACTCTGTTTGTTCTGCTGAATTTTTTATGCCTCTGTTTTAATTGCTGCTTCTGCTGTTTTATTCTTGGAGTATTTATATAGTTGCTGTTTTTATTCTTTTTTGGTACGCTTTCCCTGGGAGTTTTTAACCGAAGGGTGGCATAGAAATCTTCCAAATAATAAATAAAACTGCAGCAGCACTTTTTGCACTTCCAACAAATGCACGGAGGTGGGGTGTAAATTGAGATTGCACATCTGATGTTCTGACTAGAGCTATATGCATAAAATGGAATGTGTATAGGTTTTCTGCACAGGCGACATGCACATAGGGTCTATTCAGATGTTCCATAAAACTTCTGAAATGTTGCTTTCAGGAGTCATGATAACAGGTACTATCTCAGTTCCCTCCCTTCACACAGTCCCCAAAGCTGTGAAAAGGAGTACTCACTAACATGTCTGAGGGCTGGAACCATTTCAATCAGGAGTAGGGAATCTGACTCCTGAGATGTTGTTGGCCTCCAGTTCCCATCACCCCCATCCAGCATTGTCAGTCACGAGGGATGATGGGACATATAGCTCAAGAAGACTAGGAGAGCCACAGGTTCCCCACCCCCAATTTAGACAAATATCCAGATGTTTAGAAGGTTTACCTGGTCTGAATCTCTCCAGGCGAATAAAGATTTAGAAATGTCTTTTTTTTATTATTCTGCATGCCAAAAAATGGAAATAATCATGTAGCCATATGGCAGTTGTTGTTGTTGTTGCTGTAATTATTATTTATTTCTCTTATTTTCCTATGCTAACGTTTTGTTTAGAGATCAAGAGCCATTTCCAAATAGAGTTGTTAACAACACAAAATGCTGCCTGTGAACAAGAAAGAGCAGAGGATCAGTTCCTGGCATCTTTGTGATGCTTAAAACGAGACAAGAAAATAAGCATGCTCAGGTCACACAGATAAGCCTCCACACTTTAATTATATTTTTACCCTTTGCCTCTATGAATGTGTATTTTCAAAGTAATAATAAATATTTCCAAAGTCATCTTTCTGAGGTTTTATCTTTAATAACCTCCATACAATATTCTGTCAGATTGTTATTTCAAAAGCTTTAAAAAAGAAAGAAAGAAAGATTGATTTAATGTAGTCCGGGCACTAGCAACAATCTTAGAGTGGGCAGAGAGTTTTTGTGGGGTGTTCCAAGTTGGTGAGTATGGTTTTCTTGATGTCAAATACATCATGACTATTTTGAGTAGGCAGAAGAATATTTTGTATAGGTTAAGTAGGTTTCCCATTAACAATTCAAGCCAGGTTCCTGACAGTCAAACATAATGCTGTCTCTGCTAAAATAAGATTCATCGTGTCTGCAGGTTCTAATAAAATAAAAAAAATTCCTTCCAGTAGCACCTTAGAGAACAACTAAGTTTGTCATTGGTATAAGCTTTAGTGTGCATGCACACTTCTTCAGATACGGTCAATGGACTTCCATTTCATGCGGCTCAATGTGGTGCCTTCCATAGTTCTAGTTACAGGCAGGTAGCCATGTTGGTCTGCCATAGTCAAAACAAAATTAAAAAATTCCTTCCAGTAGCACCTTAAAAGGTAAAGGTAAAGGTACCCCTGCCCGTACGGGCCAGTCTTGACAGACTCCAGGGTTGTGCGCTCATCTCACTCTAGAGGCCGGGAGCCAGCGCTGTCCGCAGACACTTCCGGGTCACGTGGCCAGCGTGACAAGCTGCATCTGGCGAGCCAGCGCAGCACTTGGAAACGCCGTTTACCTTCCCGCTGGTAAGCGGTCCCTATTTATCTACTTGCACCTGGGGGTGCTTTCGTACTGCTAGGTTGGCAGGCGCTGGGACCGAACGACGGGAGCGCACCCCGCCGCGGGGATTCGAACCGCCGACCATGCGATCGGCAAGTCCTAGGCGCTGAGGTTTTACCCACAGCGCCGCCCGCTAAGTTTGTTATTGGTATGAGCTTTTGTTTGTATGCACACTTCTTACCTCAAGAAGCTAGTGGAAGGATTTTTTATTTATTTTGCAGGTTCTAAGATAGGCAGAGCTGAAAGGTAATGGGCACCAGCTCATTCTGTAAGTTGGATCCTCCTAACAGAGGGTCCATGTTGTGCTCGGCCCTGGAACTCTTCCTTAACCGGCTTGTGGGTGGGGCTTGCCCCACTCCAAGCCGGTGGTGCCACAGTTATGCCAATCAGCAGCGTGGCAAGGTTGGGGGTATTTATTTGGCAGCACGACATAGGGACCTCCTTTTGCTTCGCGCTGCCAAACACCTGCCAACCCACCCGCTAATCAGGTCATGTTTGGCCTTGCTTTGGACTTCGGCTGGTCACCTGTTTTTGGAATGGGGGCCAGGTAGGAATTTTTTCCAATGTGGCAGATTGGCTGTGGCCACTTGGTTTTTGCCTACCTCTTAGCAATCGTCACAACTTTGTAAGTTTTGGCAGTTAGGCATTGGTTTAGGGGAATGTGGGGAGGGGAGGTGCGGCCATCACCTGCCCTTCCAATGAATAGGGTATTCCGTTAAAAGAATCTGGGGGTCTGGCTCTCGTCCAAAGCCCGGAGAGGGGCTAGGGCCATGCCAGGACCCCCGGAAAACCCCGGGGTGAGCACCAGTCAATATACACTGATGGAGATCCCCCTGCTGGTTGTTTACCCTTCCAGGCTTCCTGCAGGGTGGGGCAGGAGCCAGATATAGTTTGATACCAATGCCTAAGCCAATACCAGTCACATTTGTGTATTTTAATAAAGTTGTGGCCAAAGATTTGCCCATTAACATTTAAACTAAATTCTGTCTTCACTGTGTCTTTATTTCCATTTGGGATGGGTTTTGGGGCTCAAAGCACAAGTAGTGATTAAAATTTTTTGAACCAGATTGTCCTGGCTTCTTTTGATTGATGCATGGGCTGCAAAGGTTTTACAACCCGGAGAAAATGGCAATGCTTTCTGTTCATTAGGCATTATGAGAACCAAATACTGAGCCCTACTAGCTAGGTAGAATTAGGCTGGTTCTGGATGGCTTATTTAACTGAGCATTCTTCCTGATTTGGTTGCAAAAAGTTGGGATTTAGACAAAATGTGCTATTTATTGGGTGTTCATTCTGATATATATTTTAATTTTTTAATTTTTAATTTTTTTTGGCAGGGAGGTTCAGAGATGTTGTGTTAAGAAAATATTATCCTATACTCTCCAGGGGGTTTACTTATCACTTTCCTTACTGCAAGAAGTGTGGAATTATTTTTGCCTGGACAGGGTTGTGGGGAGGGGGTGCAGGGAAGTAGTTCTGTTGTGCAGGAGCTCTAAATCAACTTTTAATTATGGAACCTGACTTTGCTGGTATACGTCTGAATTCCACCCCCAAATATTGACAGTCTGGAAACACCCATACTTGCACACTTTCCTGGAACACGGCCACACTATGAGACAAAGAGGAGAAAATAAAATGTTACAGAAAATGTTAGCAAAAGCACAATAGCCTTTATCCCCCCTCCCCAATTCATAGATGAAGGATTAATGGCAGCTTCTAAAGGTCACCACTAAACATTCGGTTGATACATCCAAGCAGGAAGGGTCATGTGCCTGAATCCAGAATGTGCTTTTCATAACGAAGGACATCAGGCTTCTTATAACTGGGGGCAAACACAAGCATTCTTCTTCACAATTAAACCAGATTGCTACATTCATAAATATTGAAAGATTTCTTTAACACTGTGAAAGCAAGTGCCTCTTACTTAGAAGCAAATCGCATCAGTAGCTTGATGATGTACAGCAGACTGCCCACAAAGAGGCACTCATGGATCTAAAGACCTATACTGCATTGTACATTCTGCTTCAATTCTGACAACAGAAACACATTGAAATGGCAAAGTTCCAGGCATGCAGGGCAGCTGTTAGCTAACACACAAATCGTTGGGCTCTCATAAGTAAATATATTGATAGCAGCTGCCTCAATTTCCCCCCCAGAAAAGCCAAAAGTATGCCTCAGCTATTGCAACCCTAAAATCTACCGAACATGAATAATGCAAATAAGAAAAATGTTGTGCTGCTATGTTGATTCAGGAATGCTTTATATGCTCATTAGCTAATGCATATTATAACTGAACTCCTAGAGAAGTCCGTGTGACAGCCCCATGAATGCCAAATGAATGTGTGATGATTAATAGTGTTTCAATGAATATCAAATGATTTTTTAATGACTGAACACTTAACATTTTACTGTTGATTCTTGCAGAATACAGAGGCTCTCAAGAAGCTGATCAGAAATGACAATAAGAGAAAGCTGCTTGAATTTAGACACAGGGTGTCCTTTTCCAGAGAAAGGTTGTAGAGTCTATGACACTTCATAATTTCATTGTCTACTTGTGGCATAGTTAACACAGCAACAATAACAAACCTGCAAAATATCAGTGAGTAAGCTCTAATCATCAGATTATTTAATTCACATAGGATTTCCCCCCAAATTTGTTTTAGTTTATGGACCTTTGTATTTCATGTGGGTATCCCCACGTAAATTCAAAAACGCCATATTATGCCCTTCTGACTTTGGTGAGTCAGGTGCACAAAGCAGAACAGCCTTCATTAGCCAGCTCAGTGCCATGCAGATGTTCTGGACTGCAAATCACATCAGTCCCATCTTGAAGGCACCAGGTTGTCGAAGGCTAAGGTGGAGCTTCATGTCGTGCACCCATGAGGCTGGGATTTAAGAGATTAGGATTTAAATAAAACTGGAGTCAATAATAAAAAGTACAGCTATATCTCAATGACCAACAATATCTAATATCCTAAAGCAAAAAATATATATTAAGGGCAGAGGGATGAATGCACCAATGAAATTTAATATCCTATATTGCCTTGCAGTTAGCAGTCTTCTTATCTAGGTTCCTAGACCCTAAAAGAGGATTCTGGATATGTTTTGAGTAGATAGGATGAAGTCCTTTATTAAGTAAAGGACAATCCAATAATTAACACATAGCTTAGGACAAAGGGAAAGGTCAGGTATAAGCTGAGTGCAGAAATTTCTCAGTGAACTTTAATATTCCATAACAACAATTTAATAAAGAAAATGGCTGAGATCCAATGTGCAACTTTAGATATGCCCAACTTTAGATATGCTTCCCCACCCCTTGAACAGCATACTACCATGTTTTTGTTGTTGTTGCTATTTTATCAGGCATATTCCAGCCTTTCCATGTTAAAATATTAAATGCTGTATGACAGCTTTCTATTTCAGTCTTCTATTCCAAACTCTGTCTGTGAAGCACCAAAACTTGCCTCTGCAAACTGTGACATACTTCCTTTTGAGCCGTTACGTAGCTGCTCTACTCAATGCAGATTGCCAGTGAGGATCCTCTACCCCTTCAATCTGTGCTGCAGATAGAGGTGGGAGAGAAACCTCTCACATGGACTGGTGATGCCAGCCTACACAGGTTGCAGGAGAGAGATGTGTACACTTAGCCTCTCTTCAAAACTTCCATCTAGGCATGTTCTGAAGACCAAATCCACATTTGCAATGCCAAATGTTTCAGTCCCCTGCATTTTCTATTGGCTCTTTCTTTACTCTTGTGCTTTCTCTGCACTATGCCTCTATCATATCAGGGCTGCTGAGCACATGCTTCACATGCAACAAGTTCTGGGATCAGGTAGCAGATTATGTGAAAGTCCCAGATCTGAGACATAAGAAGCTGCCTAATACTGAGTCAGGCGATTGGTCCATTAAGCTTATCATTGTTTGCACTGATAGTAGTTTTCTATGGTTTCAGACAGGGGTCATTCACTGCCCAACTGTAATGGCCTGGGTCTCTCCCACAAATGCGAGACCACTCCGGCAGTCAATTATTTCAGATTTATTGTTCAAACAAACAAACCAGGTCGGAACTCAGCTAATCGCCATCATCCTCAGATAGCACAGTTGCTGGAACTAAGCCCTGCCCCCTTTTTCCCCCAACAGGAAAACCCCTACCTTCTCTTCCTTTCCTTTTCACGCTTCTCGTAAAGTCTCATGATCTTACAAGATTTTGGAGAGGGCACTGCCAATATTTCTGGGTCTGGGTCACTGTCTGGGCTGATAAGCTGCATTCTTTCACTCTGGCTCTCCCTTCCCTTATTCCTGAGCCCAGAGATCAAGTTATGGCTGCTCCTTGCCGCTTCTCCCTCCCCTCTGCATTCCATTCTTATCTGCTCTTTCTCTATGCCAGTGTTCTCATTCCTCGTCAGTGAAGGAATGTAGCTGACACCAACCTGGAGGTGCTGGGGATAGAACCTGCATGTAAGGCAGATGCGCTGCCACAGTTCCCCAATGCCAGACTCTGATCCAATGCTGTCAGAGTAGACAATACTGGGATAAATGTTAAATAGTCTGGCATGGTAGGCAGCTTCCTATGTTCTATGGGAAGCTCAGTCAATCACCCCCAAAAACTTTATTACAATATATATTACAGCTAACTGTAGCAATATTACCACTGTCCCTCCTTCCTGAATCTCTTTGGTAATCGTCCTAATGTTTGGAAGATCACATTGCAGTAGATGGGTCATTGATTATCCCGTGTTACTATTTGCTGCTTTAAGTGGGTGGCCATATTGACAAAAAGTTGCATACTATAGTGTATTGCTGTCTAGTGAGCTCATCATCTTTTTTCAGGCCATTAGTCTCTGTTGTGGGTAACGTAGTAGGCCATAGATTACAAAAATAGCACACATCTCTCTACCTACACCATTTCTGGCAGACAACTAGCTTCTCAGAGCATCTATGAGTAATTGCTTGTTTAGTATTGTGGTGCAATTCCCAGCAATGTGTTTTGTCAGCCAATGCAGTACTATTCCTAATATCTCATACGAGTCCCACCAGATTAGATTTATCACATTGATAGGAGAATATGCGTCAAGCGAAAGATTTATAATATATCAGAAATATCCACTTTTAGCTATCTTTATTTCCATCAACAGATCAGTTCTAGAGCATATGGTAATCTCAACCATGAAAAGCATAATAAGCTTCAATGTGGCATTTTCAATTAGCTCCAATTTTTGTGCTCAGGTGCTAATTATGTATACCAACAACTATGCCAAACTAACCTAAATTTCTGCTCTGAAACGTGAAATTGCACAGCTCTAAGCTTAGCCTGTGTTTGGATAAAAATAGGTTTCTTTTCTTAACAAGTATAATTATAGGGAGAACCAGCTAGCTTTGTGTTAAGAACAAAACTACAAGGACAACTGAAGAACAGAAAGGAAATGGACTTTATGCTGAAATGCTTTATTGCAGAAAGTTACTGTGCTCAAAACTTTAACAGGAGTATACCAATAATTCATTTATTTGGTTATTTTGGTCATTTTGGATCAATACTTTCCAAGAACATTGTATGAACACACAAAAACACAAATTTATTCTGTCTTTAAACATTGTGAGGACCTCCTGGATCAAGAATCAGCTCTCCAAAATTCTGAGCAAAACTGTCCTATGTGCTAACCAATAGAATTAAGGTTAGATCATTTCCCTCGACATTAAAACTTCAACCAGAATGGCCACTGGCTCTCCTTAGCACAAAGGGATATAAAAGTTTCCTGTTTGGCTTTGGGGTCTTTCTAAATCAGAGGTGAGCAGCCTGTGATGCTATGTTCATCTACATTCCCATAATAAAGCATTCACTTAAATACAGATGCATACTCTGCAATCAAAAGAAAGGGGAATCAGCACCAGCCTATTCTGTAACTAGTGGAGTGGGTGGCGCTGTGGTCTAAACTACTGGGCCTCTTGGGCTTGCTGACTGGAAGGTCAGAGGTTCAAATCTGTGCAACAGGGTCAACTCCCGTTGCTCTGCCCCAGCTTCTGCCAACCTAGCAGTTCAAAAGCAAACCGGTGCAAGTAGATAAATAGGTACCACTGCAGTGGGAAAGTAAATGATGCTTCCATGCAGTCTTGCCTCTGTCACGGTGTTCTATTGCACCAAAATCAGTTTAGTCATGCTGGCCACATGACCCAGAAAGCTGTCTGTGGACAAGCGCCTGCTCCCTCAGCCTAAAGTGAGATGAGTGCCGTATCCCATAGTCGCCTTTCACTGGACTTAACCATCCAGGGGTCCTTCAGTTTTTACTTACTTATTTTGTGACTACTACTATGCACTAAGATTTAGCAAGCAAAACCAGAGAAAGGCTTGCACAGTGCTTGCAGAAGAAATGATATTCCACCCCCACCTCCAACAGACAGGGCACCCAGGTCAAAGAATAGTTTTTGATTGACTCCTCATATGCAGATGCAAAACAAAAGTATATTTCAATAGTAACAATGTGGTGCAGGAAGGACAGCTGCAGAACAAGGAAAACGGTGTTGTGCCCATCCTAGGGAGACGGTCAACTGCAGAATGCATAATGTGAGGTAATTTAATTTAAAGCACATTTTCAATTCTATGCTAATAAGAAGTGCTTCTATTTTCATGACGGAAATAAAAGGGGGGGAAATCAGTTAGGGTTGAGCAAATATTCCGCCATGAATTATTTATTGGACAAGTTTTGCCCTTTTTGTGTGTGCTGGTAGGATATCCATAAGCAAATTGTAATTTCCTCAAATTTCCCTGTTGTTTAAAGTTATTCCATCAATTTCCTCTCGTTTTGCTAACTCTGCGGAGTGATTGGAATATATTCCTCCCAGTGCCTCTCATTTATTAATCAGTATTCCAGCTGTGTGGGTTGTTCTGATTGTGTGGCAATCACGCAACACTATAAGCAGAGAGAGAAGTCATAGTGTATCTTTTCCTTCGTCTCTCGGCGTAAAGAACCAAACTGATATTTTCCTGCCTGTTAGAAAGATTTTGAAAGCAGGGTGGCACTCAGGAAGAATCAGGTAAGGTTTCCAGACCCATTCCTCCCCCTTCTATAAGAAGTTCTTCAACTGCAGCTTCTCCAGTCACTTGAACACTAATGAGAGAGGCTATATTTTCAGGACTCTAAGCAGCCACAAATCACTCAACAGGATAGGAAATTTTATAAGAATGGAAACCAGTAGACCTGGATGTGCAACCGTGGAGATTCCATAGTACACAAGGGCAAGGATTCTGTATTGCACTGAAGATAGACTCCCCCTTATGCTGTGGGAGGTTGGATTGCATGGAGGTCCACTAGTTGAGTCAGCCTCCCACCAGCCATTGAATAGGTGGGCAGCATCTTTGCCAGCAAGGGTTGAAGAAAGCCTCGCAAAGGGATGAGGCCAGGGTGGAGTTGAGGCAGCCCATGGTCTGCTGGATCTCAATCTTGTCCCACTGCTGTCACAAAATGGCATCTGGTCCAATCTGGAACTAGTGTAGAGGTCCTCTCGTGTCCTGCCCATACCCTCTGCTGTGAGTTTCCAACTTCTAAGCAGCCCTCCCTTAGCAGTGTTTGGAAGTTTTGACTGCTGCTGTAATCAGTTGCTAATATTTAGCTATAATAAAGGGAAGGGCTATTGCTGAGTGGTAGAGTATATGCTTTGCATGCAAAAATTTCCATATTAAAGCTCCATATCTCAAGGTATTTCATGGAAAGGCTTACACCTGAAACTGTGGATAGGTGCTCCCAGTTACTGTAGACCAGGCACGGCCAAACCTGGCCCTCCAGCTGTTTGGGGGCTACAACTCCAACCATCCCTAGCTAACAGGTCAGGGATGATGGGAATTGTAGTCCCAAAACAGTTGGAGGGCCAAGTTTGGCCATGCCTGCTGTAGACAATACAGCGCTAAATAAACCTATGGTCTGACTCAGTATATGTCAGCCTCCTATATTTCTAGCTATGCCATGACACGTTTCAAAACTCTGTTAATGGAACAGGAGTAGGGCAAACCATATTTTATGGCTAATGGAAACCCTACTGATGGAAACTATCAAAGGCAGCCAAGATTAAATTCTTGTCCTTGACTTCATTCACACATTCTCCCTCTTGTGAATATTATCTTGAAGCCATGGTTAAGTTTTCACTGCCACACATATCTAAAAGTTCTTTGCCTATTTACACATTGCCATTTCTGAATGATGGGACAAAATTGGAACAATATTTATTTCTGTGTGTGTGTGTGTGTGTGTGTGTGTGTGTGTGTAGGGGTTACTGTATGTATTGTATCCTGCCTGCTGGATTTGAACAATCATGGGAGGTTATTTTCCCTGCTGAATTAGGTCAATGTATGTCCTGCATAAACTGTTGTTCCTAATAAGCACTCAATAAGCACACATGGTGCTAGTGTGTGAAATATTCTCATGTACAAAGTTTCCCCTTCCATACCCTGTCTAGTTATGCTAGAGGAGAAGAGGTTAAAAGACCATTGTTTATTCACAGAGCGAGTCAAAAATGAAGAGAAGTGTAACATGCCTCATGAGCAGAAAACCATTAAAATTGTTATTATTGGATATTTCAGTTTTCCTGTATGACTGAGAAACTTTTGACAAAAGCACAATAAAAATAACAAAAAAATATGGATGAAGTTCCTGACCTTCTGTGTCAAAAATCTTAATAGGACTGGACCTGTCCAATCTCAGAGAAAATGGGTAGCTCGTAGATTAGAAATTGAAAAAGAATAATGTGGTGCCTGTGACCCCATGATAGAATTCAATATCATTTATAATCCTAAACTAAATGTCACATCACAGTGTTACATACAATCTCAGATGTCTAATCTAAAAAAAAAAAAGAATGATTTGCTTTCAATTAGTAATATTCTCTTAGGTTCCTTTTATGGCACATTTATTTATATAAGGATTTTGATTGCTGTTCAATGTGCTCAGCTACACTGGGTTTTACTTGTAATGTTATTTGATTTATTGCTTAGAAATATAGAGGAAAGAGAGAGAGAATGGAGAGATTGGGATAAATAATATTAAGTGATTTCTGTGATTAAGCACAAAACTTGATTCATGGATTATGCAGCAGTTCATATCCATTTATCTATCTTCAGATTCCATTGGTATCTTAGCATCATTGGACTCCTGGGAAGCCTCACTGGTTTCAATAAGCCGAAGACCTCTCAGCCATGTATTGTTTACAGATTATAAAAGTCAGATGAATTGCCCTCACACAGAATTGCCCACAATTCAGATGAATTGCTCTCATGTGGAAAGGGAGAAGAATTGCATTTGCAAGTCACATCTCTGATGCTGAAGAGT